GGTAACTTCAAAAAAAATGTTCAAGAGTTTGTTTTGAGGGAAGTCTTGTGTCTTTTGGTGAGTTTTTTTGGGTGGTTTTAGAGCTGGTTTGGAGGTGCTTTTGGGGCTTCTTTAGTGGTTCAAATGGACTGTCCGAAAGGGTTTCTCTGTAAGGGTTTTTAAGAGCTATTGGTAATAGTTTCAAAGTTGTAAAGGCTACTCGTTGTTGGTTGTTTTGGGTCCGGTTTTTGGGCAATTTTGGGACATTTTTTGGAGGTGTTTTGGGGCTATCTTAAAGATGGATTGGGGATGTTTTAGTAGTTTTTTTTATGGTTTGAATGGGATGTCCGAAGGGGTTTCTCTGTAAGGGTTTTTTGAGGTTGTTAGTAATGGTTACGGGGCTGATTTCGAGGGTCTTTTTGGTGGGTTTTGGGGCTTATTTTTTGGGGTTCTTTGGGGCTTTGATATTGCTAAGTTTAAGGGCTAGAGTTTGGGTGAAAGGGAGGACCGATACACGAGCTAAAAGGATGGATGTGAGGTCGTGTTTAGGAGGGTTGTTGGACGTTTTTGTAGGAGGGTTGGATGTTGAGGTGTGAGGCGAGAGAAAGGCTGCGTGTTGGATGGCTTGACATGGAGAGGAGGCTGCGAGGTGAGAGAGGGCGAGTAGGCCTAGAGAGAGGCGAGAGGGAGAAGGCCTGGGCCTGCAGGGGAAGTACTTGTGGAGCTTGGTGTGCGAGTCCGGAACTTCGTGAGAAAGAGGGTGGAGTGAGCGCGTGGGTAATATTTGCGTGGGGGCTATTCGAGGTTATAGTGAGGGGGAGGTCACGGATGGAGGAGAGAGAGATGAGAGGGGGTTTGTGTGTGTGGCTAAGGAGGTTGAGGCAAAGGGAAAAAGGGGTGAAATGAGCTTGCGAGGAGAAGAGCTAAGGGATGGAGTTTTTGGAGGAGAGAGTTGTAGTGGGAGGCGGCTGGTTTGGGTGAGGGTCCGTGATGGTGAGGTTGGCGGCTTGTAGAAGGGCTGGTGGTGTGTTGTTGAGAGGCCTAAAGTGGTAGTGTGGCGTAGGGAGAGGGAGTTACGGAGATGTGTTTTGCGTGTGAGAGAGTCGAGGCTTGTGTGTTTATGGCGGTTGGAAAATTCTCCTCTCTTTTTCGGGTGACAATGAACGGTAGCTTTATACTAAGAATGCATGCAAGCTTTTAGGTTTTTTGGCAAAAATCCAATTCGGTCCTTGATTTTGCTCCATGCATTTACTTAGGTTCAATTTGTTTTTTGTATTATTTTTTTTTGTATTTTAATTTAAGCCTCCCATTGCCAATAATTGAGACTTTTTATTTTAATTTGTTCCAATTGTACCCTTTTTTATTTTTGAAAGGGGAATTGAAGCTTTGAATTCTTTAATTAAGCCCCCAATTGGCTTTTTAATTTATTTCCCACTCTTGATTTTCCTCAACTAACCCCTTCTTAGAATTAATTTAAACTAGACTATTCTATTTTTTTTCTTTTCTTTTTCTAATTTTTTGTATTTTGCATTTTCATTTTCTTTTTTTGCATTTTATTTTTTAAATAATAAATGAAAAATAAATAAAAAAGAAGCAAAAATTGAGTGCTAACAATATCGGTGCAAACAAATTACCATTATGTATAACTTTAAAATTTCATTTTAAGTTGACGATCATAGCAGATTACTATAATTTAAATTTTAATTATAAAATCGACACACATAAATTATTGCTATTTGTAGTTCTAACCATCATGTTATGAATTTCTATATGCATATTTTGAAAAAAATATACCATAATTAAAATGTCCACATGAACTCTTAGCTAAAGGAAAGCTAGAGTTAAAATACAATTATGTTTTAGCATTCGACTTTAATTAATATAGATGTTCCAAATTGTATTGGTAAAAAATAATAGTCAACTGAATTTAAATTTTTTTATAAGTCGGAGATTTTGTCCGTTATGAATTTTCGTTATTTTTTAAATGGAGAACACTGTAATGTCCATCTCTTATTATGTGCTAATGATATGAATATTAGAATTCAAACTTACTCTTGTTCGTTGATTAGCTAATTAGGATAGTTAGAGTAGATAGCTTATTTGAGTTTAAACTCTTCATGGTAATTTATTATCTAATTAAAGAGTTTTGTGTGTAAGTTAAAGAAGGTTATATATATGATCTTAGGCATCAAAAGGCCTGGTTCATCAGGTAAACATCTATTTTTCATCTTAAGACTTCACTAGTTATAACATTGATTTATCATTTTTTTATTATTATTTTTAAGAATTAATATCCTCATCTATCCTTATATGATAAACTCATTTATCAGTCTGTTCCTAAAAAAAAAATCTCTAATCTGTCTTAATATTTTGATTTGATTTTTAATCTATCTTTTTAGTTAAAAATTTAGATCAATTTTCAAAAATTAATCTTTATATTAGTAAATATAGATTATTTGTGTCGAATAATAAAGATAATTTTGTTAAATCATATGCTTAATTTGGTTAAAAAATTTAACTAAAAATATAGATTAGAAACCAACTCTAAATATAATACAGATTAGAGACGCTTTTTGTTTTTTAATGATGGATTGAAAAATTAGCTTAATATAAAGGGACAGGTGAGTATTAATCTTATTTTTAAATAAGAGACCAGTTGCATCTATATGCTTATCTATGGAGATGAGATAGTAATTATTGGGCCAAATTCTTCTTTTATTATTTCATTTGTCTTTGCTTTCAGTAAAGAGTTTGCATTGCGAGATTTAGGTTTTCTAAACTATTTTTTAGGTATGAAAGTTCACAATACACCTCATGGTCTTCATATATCTCAAACAAGTATCTAAAGGAATTTTTCTAGAAGACTAATATGTTCAACGGCAAACCAATATTAAGGACTCTCATGTCTACTCATCCTCCATTGGTAAAGATGGAAGCACTTCTTTAATTATGTGATTCAACCTTATATAAAAGCACAGTACATGAGTACTCAACAATGACTAGACCGGATTTAGCTTTCACTCGTAATCGATTATGTTAGTTCATACTCCCATTGATCTTCACTGGCAAGCTCTCAAACACGTTCTCAGATATGTTCAGCATACACTCCAACATGGTTTTACAAATCACCAAGTCCTCTCTTTTATATTTGAAAGCCTTCTTTGATGTTGATTGAGAAAGCCCTCTCTTCCACATTTGAGAGCCTTTTCTGATATTGATTGGACATGATGCCCAGAATGAGATAAGATCAACAAGTAGATATACATGCTATATTTTTGAGGAAGAATTTGATTAGTTGGTCTGTAAAGAAGCAAAAAACCATAGCAAGGTCGTTTATACAAGATCTTCAAAAAAAAAAAAAAAAAAAAGATTTGTGATGCATAACAAATAATGGAAGGAAATTCTATTTTTACATGGTACTGTAATTGATTGTTGCATAAAATTAAAAGGAAATTAATTAGATAATCAACCAATAAATTCAATGCCTTTTGATTTATAAAAAAATTAAAATTAAAAGAAAAAAAAGTGGACAGGGCCCGACCTAATCTTGAGATTTGTGTGGTTGATGACGATTGCACCAAAAGAAAGAAAAAAATAAAAATAAAAGTTTGGCGAGGGAGGCACTTGAAAGTGAGGATCATTTTGTTGCGTTCTAAAAAAGAATTGAAAACTTGGGAAATCAGAATTGAATTTCTTTAACACTTAACAATTTAAACGGACTTCTTCTCCTTTTTTGCGTCTACTTCTTATGAAAGCTTAATGAATGTGTGATTATACGAAACAAAAACAAAATGAATATATATATATATATGTTACGGGAATCGTTCTTTTGCTGGGGTCAAACAATTGTAAGTTAATTAATGGTGCAATAACACAAACACCAGCTGTTCTTTTGCTGTTGTTAAGATTGGAATAAAAAGAACTTGGATAGGCCCGAAAGCTAATTAGTAATTAATTACTGGACAAACTTGATGTACAAACAAGAAACTTTTGTTAAGATTGGAATAAAACGAACATGGATGGACTACAAAGCTAGCAAAGCCAATATATATATATATATATATATATATATATATATATATATATATATGAAAATTGAGATGATATTAATATTAAAAAGACCGCTGATAAAATTTACAATAGTGTTATAAATTGAAGGAAAAAAATTAAAACTAAGCTGTAAAATTATTTTTTATATATATAGACGACTCTTGACTAAAACAATTTGTCACTATATTTCTTTTTTGAAGAAAATGATTACATAAAATATGACCTAAAGACTTGATCAAAATATCAATAGAGTTAAAGAGACTCTGAAGATGCAAAGACTTAGAAGAAACTTCCTTGCTCATCCAACCAATAGCATTTGTCGAACCTGATTAGAAGAAATACTAATCTCTAATTAGAAGCCTTCTGTATAGCTATGTCTTCAACCTCATTTGGCTCCTTAATCCCCATTAGGATATAAAAGATGCATAGAAAAGTTCATTCGTGATTTCTTAAAACTTCTCCTACACAAGAAATTTCAGGCTCGCCTAAGGACATTCCGTCTATATTCCATTTGTAGAAGCCTAGACAAGGCTTAGTCTAAAGAGTAGCTGGCCGACATCTAGTATGATTAGTCCACGTCTTAATACAATCTAAATAATGTCCTAGGTTGTTTTTTTGGCAACTAGGTTGACCAAAGAACTGCATAAAGAATCAAAAACCAAACATTTTTCTGCATCTGATGACAAACAAATTCTCACTCCTGAAACAACTTATCCACTGTCCAAAGCTAGTTAGTAAACATACAAACAAGATGCTTTTGTTAAATTTGGAATGAACAGGACATGGCATAGCCCTAAAACTAGTTAGTAATTAATCAAAGAGCAAACTTCACATGCAAGTTAAGATTGGAATAAAGAAAGCATGGATGGACCCAAAAAGGAATAAACGAAGTCCATAAATATGCATGCAATAATGCCTTTTTTCCAAATACATGAATTGGATATATTCAATCCAACAAAAGTCAGGCTAAAATGTCGAAGCAACCTAGACCTAGAATTGTTTATCAACATTTCGAGCCAACAACATCATGGAAGCGAGATCCACCCAATGAAACTCTTCTCATTCATTTACCTGGTTCGTATTTCTCGTAACTTAATTTCACACAAATATAGTTTTTGCTTGGTCTCATGCAGCATTTGTTCTTATTTTGGAAGACATTTCTGGGGTTCCTGTAGCCTTGCCCTCGTCCTATGGACATGGGTAGAAATGGCCTTAATTTTCATTCTTTCTTGTAAATTTTTCTACAGGCTTTAAAAGGGAACAGCTGAAACTTACATATGTGAGTGCATCGCGTATGCTAATAGTCAGTGGAGAAGGCGAACTTGATCGAGATAGTGGATGGAGCCGTTTTCGCAAGGAGATTCCTATCTCATCAAATTGTAGGGTCCATGAAATGCGAGCACAATTTGATGGCGATGTCCTTTCTGTCATTCTACCTTGTGATCCTGTAACTGAGCCAAGGACTAAGCCCTTTTCTGCAAGGCAAATCAGGGAATGTTTCAGCAGACATGTCAAGAATGGCGAGGATAAAGTTCTTGGCTGGAATGAGATAAAGAATGCCTTCTCGGAGTTGGGCGCTAGCTACCCTGACTTCAGAGCCGACAGGGCGCTTGTGTTTGCAGATGGCAATGGAGATGGACTGATTTCTACTGATTATGAGATGGATGAATTAGTGAGTTATGCATGGTTGGTATTTTGGCAGCCTGAGGGTAAAAGTAGTGATCATGAGGAAATGGGAATGGTTTTGAGTGATGAGGAATTAAGAGTGGTTTTAAAGAGATTTGAAGATAACAACGTAGTTAGCAAGCAAGATTTGAAGAAAGCCTTCAACCATTTTGGTCTTTTCTTTCCTGAATATGCAGAGCATGTTCTTGATCATTCTGATAAAGAAGGGTTTCGTGAGTTAAAGCAGCTGGATGATCTAGTTAGGTATGCTGTCCAATTTGGTTATACGGTTAAGTAAAAAAAAAAATGATGATTTATCCATATTATTATTGCTAATTAATATGAAGAAATTCCTATTGCTTGTTTTTTTTTTTTTTTTGAGGATGTTATGCTTACGTTATTATTTTTAAAACATGGTCAACGTGTAGTGGAGTCTATTTAGGCTTAATAGACCCATTGGACTTCCAATGAATGAGAAAAAAAAAATGAGAGAGTATAATTTTATGATTAAGGATTGAATTGATGGATTTGGACCATAAGTTGGTGCAACAATTTTAAGAAACAAAAGAAAAAGAAAAGATAAGAAGAACAAAGAAAGAAATTGGTTAGATTCTACTAAGTTCAAAAAGAATTCGGAAGGTGCAAGATATTGGAGTAAATTATAAATTAGTTCCTTTCGTTTTGAAAAATAAATAAATTAGTCTTTCTTGTTTTGAAACTAATTAATTTAGTTTCTGTATTTTTAAATTTTTTTATAACTTAAGTACCCATTTCTTTCTTTTTTAATTTAATTTATTTTTTATTTAAAAAAATGAAAAGATTGAAGAGAAAAAATATATAATTTTAAAAATAAGATAATATTAAATTAAGCATGATCAACACTCGTCCGTTTTTATATTTTTTTTTATTACAACAAGGAACAAGGAGTCAGTTTTTATATATATTTTTTTTTATTACAACAAGGATCAAGGAGTCAAATGAGATTGAGGTCGTAGCTATTAAAAATATAGAAATCAGAGCTACTTCTATTTATACTCACCAGATTAATTAGATTATTGAATTAGATTTAGCTAATGTAATTGCTTGGATGAGTACAGAGGTCTCTTCTATTCTTTTACAGTTTTAACATCTTCTCAATTAATTCTATTAATGTTCCGACCAAGTCTTTGCAGCCTCTCTCTTTCTATCATATTCTTTGGGAAAGGAATGCAACCGAGAGCTTGGTTATATATAGTGCTAGTTTAGCTCTTGTTCTAGTGCTTCTCTCATTTGTAATAACCTTGTAATTTTCTCAATAATCTGATCTTAATTTTTATAGAAAAATAAAGAGCACAAGACTATTACCCAAAGCTAGGTAGTAATTAATTATTACATGACAGACTTCGCATACAAGTAAAACACTTTTGTTAAAGATTGGAATAAAGGGGACATGGATATTCCTTAAAATTAATCAGTAATAATTTCACATGTTTTGGTTAAGATTAGGAAAAAAATGACACGGCTATTTCTAAAACTAATTAGTAATTAATTACAGGACAAACTTCACATACAAGCAAGATCATACTTTTGTAAAGATTGGAATAAAGAGAGAAACTTCGGATACAAGCAAGACATTTTTGTTAAGATTGGAATAACAGGGTCACGGATAGGTAGCAAACCTAGCTAATTGATAATTAATTACACAGTAGACGTCACATACAATTAAGACACTTTTGCTAAGATTGAAATAAAATACTGAACAAATCCCATAAATATGCATGCAATGCCCCTTTTTTTCCAAATTAAGCCATGAATTGAATCCATTCAATCCAACAAAAGTCAAGGTCAAAATGCAGTCACCCATGAGGCCAATTACAGATTAAAATTAAACCTGTTTATGAACATTTCGAGCAATAAGATCATGGAAACGCGATCTACCATGCGACATTCTTGTCATTGATTTATCTAGTTTTGTGTTTCTATGGCTTAATATCCCCTAAATATAGGGTTTTGTTTTTTTTTTTACAATAGAGAACCAAAGCCCTAGAGGGAGTAATAATAAGAACAAAACCTAGGAACACAACTTTACAAATATCCTCAAACAAGAAACCAACGTAACACATCCTGAAGGAATATTAATATGATAAATAGCACATAAATATAGTTTTTGATTGTAGTCACATAGCATTTGGTGTTTACTTTATTTTTTAATGAACCACCCGTTGGATTCAATTAGTCATTTATATGTGATCACATAAATCATACATACCAAGTTTTATACTAATTTGACGACTTTAAGCTTTTGATCTGATTGCTCTTTAAACAATTATGCATAATGTTTTCACATTTCACACGATTAATACATTATAGTTATGCAATAATAATATAAGTACTTTGAATCTTATTTTGAAGAGTTTTTCTCATATTTGAATGTTGTATTTTTTGAATTTTTTTTTTTTAAAAACTCCATTTTTCTAACCTAATTAAAACTTTTTTATTTTTTGAGAGATTTTTTGCTTTAAACTCTTTTTATAACTTCATTATATTAGTAATCGACCTCTTTTTAAGATTTCTTGCACTAGTCTGCAAGGCAAACCAGGGAATTGCACTAGACTTGCTGAGAATCGCAACGATTATGTTCTTAGCAGGAATGAGATGAATTATATTATGCTTGTTCGTTGGGATTTTGGCAGCCTAATGATAGAAGTAGTGATGAGGAAATGGGATTGTTTTTTAGTGTTGAGCGATTAAAGGTGGTTTACAAGAGATTTGGTAATAGAAATGTACTTAGCAAGCAAGACTTGAAGAAAGCCTGCAATCATTTTGGTCTTTTCTTTCCTGAATATGCAGACCATGTTCTTGATCCTTTTAGCCAAAAAAAAGGATCTTTTTAGGTAAAGCAGCTGGATGATCTTGTTAACCATGCTGTCCAATTTGGGTATATTGTTAAGCGTTAAAAAAAAAAAAACAACTTTACCTTTTATTATAAATTAGTCTTTCTAGTTTTGAAAAACAAATTAATCAGTCTATCAAGTCTTAGAAACTAATTATATAGTCCTTTTCTCTATTTTATATTCTTTTCTGATTTGTTTTTTTTTTTCAAATAGAAAAAAAATTATCATGGACAAATTGATGAGAAAAGAAAATATTACTTTTTGAAATAAAATAATATTAAATTAAATATGATCAACGCTAATCAATAGATTAAATAATTAGTTTTTGAAACAAAATAAATTAATTAATTTTTTCTCTAAACTAGAAGTGCTAAGTTATAACTTACTCTGGAAATCTGAGAGTAAATTTTTATGGTCAAGGGCTGAATTGATGGATTTTGACCATAAGTTTGTGCATAAATTTTAAGGAAAAAATAATAATAAAACAAGGAAAGAAATTGGTTACATTCAACTAATTTAAAAAAGAAATCAAAGGGTGTAAGGAGTAAATTAAAAACAATTTTGACTTCAAATTATGCAATTTGTGGAGAGATGGCCATGGGGAGGACAATGAAGCACTGCCCAATTGCCATATTCAAATCACTTATTTTTTATTACTTTATATTTTTATTTAATTATTATTATTATATATTCAAAGTCATGTCTGCTTGGATTCTGATTTTTGGTTCGGCTGCCTTCGCTGGTGGGCTAACATCCATTGATGACCATTGACCAATTAAGGAATAAAATTTTGTAAAAAATTATGGGCAATAATATTCTTTGAAAAATAACATTTTCATAGTCCGTGAGACTGTTATCAAACATTTTACATTTTTTTTTAACTAAAAAGGGTTGATTTGAGTAGAATGAATTCTAATCGCTTATATAAATAATCTTAAATTCGAGTTTTTTTGTATGTAAAAAACTCTATTTAGATAGTTATTTTCGTCTTGTACATCGGACAGAATAACTAGGAATTAATCTGAATTTTTAAGTTACGAATACCTTATAAGATAAAAAAATATTTTACATTTTTTATAATAAATTAAATCAACAAAAAGAGAATCAAAATCCGAAATTACCAGGCATGGATGTCTTTAATTTTTCATATCTTTATTCTCGTAGATTTTGAAGTTGACTTCAACTCTTTTGTTTCTTTTTTTTTCTTTAGTGGTCAATGCCAATCCCAAATGGATAAATCGATCTTTCCACATCTTCCACTAAGCAACACCTGCTCCCATAATCAGAACAAATCAAGAGTCAATATTGAAGTCCACCGTATGCACTCAAACACTATATTGAAACTTTTTTTTTTTTTTTACCAAGATAAAAATATTTTCTCATACCGATTTGATGCATTTAGAGAAGTTTTATGAATTAATTTAGATATTAACTTTAAAATTTGAATTCAAAAAGTCGATAAATAAAGTAATTTTTTTAATTTTGAGATTAAAAATATTATAACACACATCAGAAAAAAACTTATAAGCATAGTGTATCATGTCAACGTAAAAATGTATTTTTAAAATCATTGAAAATGAAATCTATTCATGCCAATGTTCATAAATTAATCAGAAAATACTTTTATTATTAAACCCAAAAAAATTATATAAAAAAAATCATAACTTGATCAGTTACTTTAATAAATTTACATTTCATGAACTTACCAAAAGTGACCATAATAAGTTTGGTAAACAAAAAAGGGACCAGAATAAGTTGGAACAAACAACTACCAGTCTCATTTATGACATCATAAGTACTTGTTGGCGCAGAGCACATGATGATTGAGTTGTCAGCTGATTGGAAAAATTAACTAACCATTTTTAACGACCCCTCCTCTTCCACCTCGTGGAATTCGCCTACCACCACACCCTCACCAAGCACCAACCCACGAAAGCCTCTCTTTCTCAAAGACACGACCTTGCTGTTCCTGTTTGGTGAGTTCTAATCTTCTCTTAAAAGCAAGACTAGATCATTCATTTCATTAATTCATTCAAAATTTCGTTTCTTTGGTAATATAAAAGCAGAGGTTGCAATAACATAGTAGCAAATTCTACATTACTTGTTTTGTAGATCATCTTTGAATTGTTGAAATGGCAAGGAAGAAGATAAGAGAGTATGATTCTAAAAGACTTTTGAAAGAGCACTTGAAACGTCTCTCTGGCGTTGATCTTCAGATCTGCTCTGCTCAGGTACGTCCCAACTCTAACCTATTAATCTCTCTTTGTATCTGTGTGTTTTAGTTGCGTTGTGTTGTGGTTTGGAAATGATCTGTTATGATCGTTTGGTATTTTGTGCATTTATCAAGTTCGGATTTGATTACTTTGGATTGGAAATTGGATCATATTTGATTAAATTTTGAAGCTTCAGATTAATTTTGGTGAAATTCATACTGGGTTTTTTATAAGGATTCAATCTTCAACTTTTGAAAGTTCAATTTTGGAGGTAGTGATTAATGTTGTCATATTTTAATGAACTTAGTAGCTTTAGCTTGGTTTTGATGGAACTTCTAACTGGGTTTTGGCTATAATTGCAGTTTCTCTTTTACTTTATCTGTTAAAAATTCAATCTTCTAAACGGGATTAGTGTTATTTTGGATTTGATGTTTCAAATAATAATATAGTTTGTCGTTGTGTCTAGGTGACAGAAGGTACAGATTTCACAGAGTTAACTAACCAAGAGCCATGGCTTTCATCTACAAAATTGGTGGTGAAGCCCGATATGCTATTTGGGAAGCGTGGTAAGAGTGGTTTGGTAGCTTTGAATTTAGATCTAGCTCAAGTTGCTGACTTTGTGAAGGCACGCCTTGGTGTTGAGGTGATTATTGGATCAAGTTGCATGGAAAATTCTTGGTTTTGTTTGTGTAGTTAGATTTTTTATTGATGTGCAAATTGGATCTGGTTTTTAGGTTGAGATGGGTGGCTGTAAGGCACCAATAACTACCTTTATTGTCGAACCATTTGTTCCACATGACCAAGAGTTTTATCTTTCAATTATCTCTGAGAGACTCGGCTGCACTATTAGCTTCTCAGAATGTGGAGGTATTGAAATCGAGGAGAACTGGGATAAGGTATTTCTACACTGTTAATCTTGATATACACGTGCTTCTTCATTCCTTCTCCCATTATTACTGTCAGATCTCATTACTGTTGGAATCTAAAAGCCAACATGGTTTTGGTTTTTTGACTTCTGCAGGTTAAGACCATATTCCTCCCTGCTGAGAAACCATTGACACTGGAAGCATGTGCTCCTTTGATTGCTACACTTCCTTTGGAGGTGAGTTTCCTTGCATTTAAATTTATCTATGATTTAATAAATTCTGGTGATGAGTAATCCAACATGCTTCACTGATCGAAATAATTAAACAGATTAAAAATCTGAGTAGTGCCTTAAGATTCTTGTTACTTTTTTATTTATTTTAAATATATCTGTGTTAAAAATTCTTGGTACCTTGCATTCTGAATTGTTTCATATCTATTTAGAATTTCCTGATACAACTTTAATACTATCTCAGATTCGAGGTAAAATCGGTGATTTCATCAAGGGTGTCTTTTCTGTATTTCAAGGTGAGCATGCTCTTGCCACATTCATTTAACTTAGGAAATTACATGACTTGTGAACAAGATTCTAATCACATGTACTTGATCTTATTAAATTTAGAAACCATCTATTTTTTTTCTTGAGGATCTTGAAAGGGCTGAGAATTATCTAATATTTGCTTTTATATGTCCTCGTTCCTCATTTGTTACACCAAATATTTTTCAAGCTAGTAATAAATTCACATGTGATTGCTTTTTTGTTCTTCATAGATCTGGACTTCAGTTTTCTAGAGATGAATCCATTTACACTGGTGAATGGGGAGCCATATCCACTGGATATGAGAGGAGAGTTGGATGACACTGCTGCTTTTAAGAACTTCAAGAAGTATGTATATATTAATATCCTTTTTCCAGGAAACCTTGAGTTCACATCCTTCAGTTGACATGAAATTATAGTTTAGGTATATTACTAAAATATTTTGTCTCTCATCCAAAATGTTTTGCTACATTCAGGTGGGGTAACATAGAGTTTCCTCTGCCTTTTGGAAGAGTTCTGAGTGCTACTGAAGGCTTCATTCATTCACTGGATGAAAAGGTAATTACATGAATGCCTCCACCATCCTTTTACTTGCCTGTCTATTTGGACATAAACCAGATGCATTAATCATATTCTTGTGTTCACAGACAAGCTCATCTTTGAAATTCACTGTTTTGAACCCAAAAGGACGTATCTGGACGATGGTAGCTGGAGGTGGTGCCAGTGTCATATATGCTGATACTGTAAGTTCTCCATGCCATATGCTATAATCTACCTGCCCGCCATCTCATCTTTGGCATTATTTTATTGGTCGGTGCGAGGTCTATTCTTTCTGATTTTACTCATAAGACTTAAAGTTTTTTTTCCCATTAACTAGGTTGGAGATTTGGGTTATGCATCAGAGCTTGGCAACTATGCAGAGTATAGTGGAGCACCAAATGAGGAGGAGGTCTTGCAATATGCAAGAGTTGTCATTGACGTAAGAGAAGATAAATTTAAGCCTTTTATTTTTTTGCATCCTTGCTCACAGTTATGCTGTCTCTCATTTATTCTGTAATGATATTCCTTGATCATTATTGTAGTGTGCCACTGCTGACCCTGATGGTCGCAAAAGAGCCCTTCTTATTGGGGGAGGCATTGCTAACTTCACTGATGTTGCTGCTACTTTCAATGGTATTATACGAGCACTGAGGGAGAAGGTATGTCTGGTTGAATCAACTCAAACTGCTGTAAGTGGTTTACTAGTTTAGGTTGCCTTTTTCTATGTTTAACACTTCATTCGCCTCCTTATAGGAATCCAAGTTAAAGGCAGCAAGAATGCACCTTTATGTCCGAAGAGGTGGTCCAAACTATCAGACTGGTTTGGCCAAGATGCGCGCTCTGGGAGAGGAACTGGGAGTGCCTCTTGAGGTATGAAATGCCAATCTTCTTTTCGTAGTTTGCAGCTGAAATGCATACTGTTAATTGGAGAAAAGTCACCTTGTCTTCAGTATTGGTCTGTAAAATTGGAACCTTCTTTTTCATTTGAAGTCTGAAATCCTCTTCTTTTTTTAATCAGGAGCTCAGGCCTAATCTAGGTTCCTGATTCTTATGTCTTAATGAAGTTTTTAACTATAAAGTTCAATTGTCCTCAACTTGAAAACCATGAATGAAATTGAATAAACCACAAGATCCTCTTTGTTCTTAGGGAGTTTTCTTTCTTTTCCATTCCTTCACTTTCGAAGAATCAGATCTGGACATCCTCTTATTTGTTTTATTTGAAGCTGAGCAGTGTTAATTTCTTCTTTTTTCAGGTGTATGGGCCTGAGGCCACAATGACAGGCATCTGCAAGCAAGCCATTGATTGCATCATGTCTACATCATAGTCTTGCAACTCATTTTTTTCTCCCTTGTTAGTGTGAATCAAGAAAATGTGTTGTGGCAAGGTGTGTTGAGAAAATAAAATAGTGTAGAAGGCGCAAGCTGGATTGAGTTGTTGTAGACTTAGCATCAAATTTTCCCTTGTGATGTAATAATCTTGAATCGATTTATTGTTGAAGTAAAACACTTTTCCTATGAAATTTCCACCCACATTTCTTCATGCTATCGAATCTTTTATTGATTTGTTTTTCTTTTTTGATAGTTTCTGATTGAATTTATTCGCATCTTCTCTGATAAATTCTCGCATCAGAGTAATGCTCCCTCTGTTGGTTCTCAACCCATTTGCCCATGCATCCTATGGCCTCCTTCTATATCGTTTCCAATCTGTTAGACTAGAAAATGGCTATCCAGGTCTGATTGATGTTGGCTGACAGACACTGGTACATGAGGCTCGAACATAGTTGTATTTGTTGACTCATATGGGCTGGACTTGTTCAAGGAAAAAGATAGTCTGGAGGATCCTGGGAGAGCAGGAAAAGTTATTGGCTTTCCTGTCACAACCACAGAATAACTCATCCCTCCTTGCCACCTGCTCGTTTCCTATTGGCTTTCCCTCCATGAAAGAGCTATACCAACCTAATAAGTAGATAAATTTTACAGTTGTCGCAAATTTCAAGCTGAGAATGTGCTAGCTGTGAGAAAATGGGAACTAGTGAGGACTGAGGAGTCGGACATGAAAAATGGAAAGTTGCATTAACTACAGAAAAGCAGAGGTCTACCATTTGAAGGGCCCTTATAGCTTCTAGTTTTTGTTAGGTAAGGCCCTCATAAATTCAATGACTAATGCCTTAACTTCAGTCTTAAAATTTACAGTTCATAACTTTGTAATACAGCTCTAATCTTTGAGAAATGGAAGAATCTCCATTTCAACTCATACTCAAACGGCCATATTACCCTTAATTGTAGGCTGTTCTAAGTCCTAACACAATAGGTTTTAACTCTATACTTTGTTTAGTATGCATCATTGAGTTACAGGTCAAGAAAAGCTCCCATTAGCATCATCATCATCTTTTTTTTTAATTTTATATTATTGATAATGGCATATTTTTGCACATTTATTTTTTAATTTTATATTATTTATAATGACATATTTTTGCATTAGTTTTTACGTCAATCGAAATTAAATTTCTAATTTTTAAACTAAGTCCGCATAATTAATCAGTATTTAGTATTTAAGGGTTATTCACTCTAATTCTTGAGAATTAGAAATAGGGGACAAGCTTCAATAATGTTAAAAAAAAAAGAAAAGAAAAAAAAGTTAGGTTATTGAAAGTATTTTTTCATAACCTGAGCTGGTGAAAGGTTTATGGAGTAATTTTTTGACTGTGACGGACCCAAGACTTCAATTTTACAGCTATACCAATAGTAATTATCCTATCTAACTCTTTTCCATGTTTTTACCACTATTTGTAAAACAGTTAGCTGTACACTTGCTTAAACTAAAAACCTTGGGTGCTATAAGATGGGTGGGGATGGGTGGGCTTCTTTACGTTGCAAGAAAGAGAAACCAGAGAAAAGTAGAGAGTGTGTCTATGCCAGATTCTGAGAGAAGTGCTAAGATGGAGACAACTCAAAAGGTGCTTCTAATCCTTGCCATTTCTATGTTGGTTCTTGCCACAAATGTTGAAGGAGGAAGGAAACTGAAGGACACCGAGGAGAAAGTGGTTCAACCCCAGAACTATCTTGGAGGTTTTGGTACCAGTGGCGGCTATATCCCAACTCCTAATGGTCCTGTCTTTCAACTTGGGCCGTCAGGGTTTTGCTCTTACCCTGGGGTTGGTTGTGTCAGGGTCCCAGGTACTGGTGCCATTGGCTCACCACCATGAGCAAGAGGCCCGACTGCAGTTACTAGCTAGGATCTCTAGTTTAGTCTAGTGGTCTGGTTGGAGGCGGTTTTGAACTTGTTTTAGCTGTGGAAGTTTCAATAAGTTTGTTTCAGTTGTTGTCCTGTTTTTATGTTTGGCCTTGTGTGCTTGTGTTGAAGCTTATGGCTCTTCATGTCTTAGTGTCTGCGTTTAAGGTTTACGAGTCTATGTTTCTTGCCTTTCCTTAGCTAGTTGATCTATGAAGGGTTTGCCTTCTAAGCTAGTCAGTACTATGTAAACTATAAGCCCTATCAATAGATGATCTATGCTAAAGTTATAACTAGCTAGTTCTTTATATCCTCCTTGATGGTGTTTTGTACTTGAAGCATGTCCTCTCCCTCTTCCCCCCACCTTACAGATGTTGACAAGCAAGAAAAGAATGGCCTCAAGGTTGCTTGCTGGATGGAACCATTACATGTTCTCTTTCATAGTATTTAGTTTTCAATTTAAGATGACAAGAACAAAACTTTCTGTCTCCTCTTTCGTTTATTTGGACGTCTTTTAAGGAAACTTCATGTAATCAAGAAATTGCAAAAAGTGATAAGTTTCCAAACACTGAGAAATAGTTGGTGAGGTATTGGCCATTAGTCATAAATGATTCTTATTGTAGCTCTAGGCCTAAAACCCTAAGACAAAAGAGGTGCAGCAAGATTTAAAGAAAGCAACTCGTGACCACACAAAATATTTGTTGCAAAAATGTAACATTGTTCCTTACCTAGTAACCACTGACTAGGAGAAATTTTATAATACATCGAGAGTAATTAGTGATATGTATAATAGCTTATTTCATGAGCTCATTTTGAGAAGAGAGATAAATACATAAAAAAATAGTAAAATTACATCCATACTCATCAAAAGTGATAAGAAGATTTTCACGTCTCGCTCAAAATTTTTTATTTTATCTCTCCCGTTTCTCTCTTTCTCTTTTGTGTCTATTTCTCTCTTCAAAATGGGTTCATAAAATAACTACTATACATGTCACTAGTTACTCCTAATGTATTATAAAATTACTCACTAACTAGACCCTCGTTGTGCTAAGTTATGGTGCTAAGAACTTTAATCCCTAACCTCTTGATTGAAAATGCTTCATTGTTATTCAAGAGAATTGAATTGAGCGAAAAAAGCTTTAGTTATTCGATTCGAGTTTTTATATATATAAAAAATTTGTTAAATAATTATGTTTCTTTTATACGTTTTATAAAATAACGAAATATTAGTCTAAGACTTTAAATTTAAGATACCATAAGAATAAAAAAAAAAATTCATTACCTTGATTATCCAACTATATATATATAAGATTTTGTGTCTTCTATTAGAGATTGCTTCTCTCCCATTGTGCATGTATTAGTAAATCACTTTTCTACATTAACTAATTTTGACCATAAAGATTAGATATATAAATGGGAAATTAATTATATTGTGCTTAAAAGCAATAAAAGATATCATATCATGTATTTTATTTAGATAGTATATTGTTTAGTTGGTACATTGTGTTGTCTTAGACATTATGATCGCAAACTTTCTATGAAAATATTAATTGATTTTCGTATAATAACGCACAATAATCGATTAAAAAATTTTAATGTTATTGTGCAAAAGCTGGCTCGATATATATATATTATTTGTTAAAAAACTAAAAGATCTTAGAATGCATAATAAAAGAATATTTTTATTATTATTATAATTTAGAATCGTTAAAATTCGAAAATATTTTGTTAAAAGTAAAAAATAAAATTATAACAGCGACAAAAGTATAAAAAATTTATTTTGAAAAAATTAATAAATAAATAAAAATTCATTAATCGAAACACTTCATGCACTTTTCATCAACTAAAACTAAATCCTTTAACTTTCCATATCCAAATTTTAAAACATAGTTATCATATTTGGAAGTAAATCTTAATTATATCTATACGAAGTAATTTTCCGTCATGTTTTGTCAAAATCTCGAACATGTTTGGTCGTATCTGTTAAATGTCAGTCCCTGAGTCAAACAATTACACGAATGACATGTCGTCCTTACACAATGTACCAATAGGGAGATGCCCTGTTCCCCTGCCTGTCCATTTCCTTCGCGTAACTCTCAATCATTCTCTGTTTGGTTACTGAGAAAGAAAACACCAAAATCCCATAATTTTCTCTGCATTAAAGGCAAAAGCTTTCAACTTTCGAGATCATAAATAAAACACCCATTTTGATTTATTCACTAAATTGATCAAAATCTCACTTCACAGATAAAAAATGGATGACACTTGTGCTGTTTGTGCTGATACCCTTGAATGGGTTGCTTATGGACCATGTCTCCATAAAGAAGTCTGCTCTACTTGCACTATTCGTCTTCGTTTCATTTGCAATGATTTCAATTGCTGCATTTGCAAATCAGAATCTAACACCATCTTTATCACTAAGGTTAGTTATTTCATCAATTCTTTTTATTTCTGGGTTTTGATCCTTTTGTTAAATAGTTATGGTCTTTTTGTTATTTATGATGGTTTTAATTTCTGGGTTTTGATTGCTGTACTGTAAAGTTCTGGTCTTTTTAATTTTTGGGTTTTGGTTTTTGTAGGCTTTAGGGGATTATACAAGGATGATAAGTGACTTCAAGGGTTTAGGTGGAGTTAATGGAAGTGAGGGTAAAGTCGGGGAGTATTGGTATCATGAAGGCACAAAGGCTTATTTTGATGAATTTGATCATTATAAGATGATTAAAGCTATGTGTAGGTTATCATGCAATGTTTGCAACAAGAAGGACGGAGGGTCAAAGGAGTTTAATAGCGTTGAGCAATTGAAGGGTCATTTGTTTCACAGGCATAAACTGCTTATGTGCAGTCTGTGTTTGGAAGGCAGGAAGGTCAGATGCTTTTACTCATGTCTTATTTATGTGATATGATGATTTTTATTGTTAATCTTTGCTTCTTAGTTTGGTATTTAATGAAATGAGCATCAATGGAGAGTTATAACATGAGATACAGACATCTTTTATATTTCATAGCTTTATGAGATTATTCATGGAGAATGTGCTGTATGATTTGACTGTCTCATGTCGATAGAAAATCTTAATTCTTTCATGATCTTTGCTTTAGCAGGCACATTTGTGTTCTCTGACTTAATTAAATTTTGAACCAGATATTTATAAGTGAGCAGAAGTTATATAATAGAGCACAATTGACTCAACATGTGAGGACGGGTGATTCGGTGGTTGATGGCAGTGAAATTGAAAGAGGTGGATTTACAGGACATCCTATGTGTGAGTTCTGCGAGAATCCCTTTTATGGAGATAATGAGCTTTACTTGCATATGTCCACTGAGCATTTTACTTGCCACATATGCCAAAGGTAAATCCATGCTTTTTTCCGTTAGAAAAGCGTTCACATTTTAGTATTTTGTTTTATCATTTGTACACCTTCATATGTCCAATTTCTTTGTTCAATGCAGGCAGCATCCTGGACAATATGAATACTTTAACAATTATGATAACTTGGAGGTTGATTATATTTTGTTTTCACACTTCTTACTCACCTGCTTTTTATTGTATGTCATGGTTACTCTTTGTTTTTAATGAACATGCGATACTTTATGTCTCAGATCCATTTTGGTCAAGAGCATTTCTTATGTGAGGATGAGGCTTGCCTTGGAAAAAAGTTTATTGTTTTTGCAACTGAATCCGAATTGAAGGTGACATCTAGCAGACTTCATGATGCATATTTTTGTTTTGGCTTTCAATATTTGAATTTTTATTTTTATGTTTTCTGGAGTGTACTATATGACTAAGAAGGCTTCTTATGTATTTCTGATGTTGGTAGAGGCATAATGCCATGGAACATGGAGGGCGCATGTCTCGTTCTAAGCGTAGTGCTGTACTTCAGGTGTGTACGGATCTTTATGAATTCTTGCAAGCTACCAATGTCATTGGCTTTTTTCTGCATTCTTTATTGTATGTTTCTGTCTGCTACACCTGAACACTCTGCAGCCATTTATGGTCATGATCGGTTTTCATTGTTTATAATGTCAAATAACATGCACCTTTCGTTTTCTATGTCTAGATACCTACGAGTTTCCGGTTTCGGCAAATTAATGAACATGATCGGCATCGTGGAGGTCATGGTAGTCGTTCTGATTCATCAGGCTATCAGATGAACATGGCCAATGAAGATAACCTTGAGACAGCCAATGCTGAAAGGCCGTATGGTATTTCGTCAAATGCCCAATCTTTTTCTACTCGCAGAGAGGAAGGTGAAATTGATATAATTACGAACCCTTTCGAGTCATTAACCACCATAGATTCTGAGCCACCTTCAAGATATCGTCAGGATATAGGATGGAACTCTAGGAGTGCACCAATGGAAGAAATGTCCTTTCCACCACTTCCTGTGGCTTCAAGCAGTAGCCAACAGAGATCCAGAAATGGTTTGGGAGGTTCAAGTGTGAATACAATGGCTGCTCGCATGCGTCGCCGAAATATGGTAAAAGTTCTTAATACTTCTCGGGCTTGGCCAGCAGCAAATAATCATCCCAACTCATTAGCTAGTATTTCTTACCAGTCGAGGCCCGTGCCAGATTCTGGGGTTTTATCTTCATCCAGTTCTCTGAGTTTATCCCAGAGTAAGCAAGCAACAGTTAAGGAGTCTGTTCTATCTACTCACACGAGCTCTGCTCAGGCTGGGCCATCAAGGGCCAATGGACTTGTTCTATCTTCTAATTTTCCAAGTTCATCAAGGACTTCAAATAGGAACAGCAGGGTAAGCCAAGCTACAGTGGCTCCAAATGCTGTAGACAGAACTTCTCTCAAATCTGTTTCTAGTGTTCCCTTTCTGTCTGCCACTAAAGCGGACAAAATGTCTACAAGTGCCTCAACTTTGCCGAAGGTTGAGGATGTTCAATCTGCTAATAAGGCTCTAGTGGAAAAAATCCGTGCTGCATTAGAATTTAACGATGACAAATTCACTGCATTTAAAATAATATCCACAGAGTATTGCCGGGATATAATTGATACTGCAGAATATCTTGCCTCTGTGTATCAATTTGGTCTGTCACATCTTGTCCCTGAGCTAGCTAGACTTTGTCCCAGTGCTGAGAAGCAAAGAGAGCTTGTTGAGATTTATAATTACAATGTGAGTATGAAAGGTTCTGTTGAAAATGGTTTGAGCATTGACAATGGTCGATCCAAATGCAAGAAAAGTTCAAAGAAAGGCAAAGAGAAGTGTGCTGATAATGGTATCAGTAGCTTTGACAACATTTTGTCTGATAGTCTTAAGGTGGAGATCTTACCAAAGGAGGGGCATCCTGGTGGAAAAGGCAAATCAAAGATTTTGGTTGATGAACAAGCCAACTTAAATTTGTCAATGGAGTCAAAGAGTGAAAATGTTGCTCAGCAAGCTGGTGTCATCTCGAAGAAGAATGTGGGGGCTAGGGGAGGAGGGAATAAACCTCGAAAAAAACCTCAAAGTTCCTTAAGAACCGTCTCGGTGATGCTTCCAGTGACACACTGCCAGATGATGATCCTGATGAAAAGGAAGAGAAAGCAGATGCGAACAAAGATATACCTAAAGTGTTGCCGGTGGGTGGAGTTTGGAATAATGGGGGAGGCCGAAAGCTTGTGGCGATGACCCAGATGACCCAAGAAGACCGCAAAAAATGACCTTACATGGGGCATTAGTGGAAATGCCAGTTTGTTAGTAACTAAGTGTAGAAAGAGCTGGCACCAGACTTGATTAATGTCTTTTTGTGTGTACATTAGGGCATGTTGTTGCTAGGCATGCATATCGTCAGTACATTAGATGATCAGAGGTTTAAACCCCTCAAAAACTAACTAGGAATGCTTCAAGCTTCTGAAACTGTAACTGTTTCTTGGTTTTGTTTTAGGAAAATGGGAAAAACTTGGTTCCTTGTTCCTTTACTAAAATACAACTTTTTTGGTACAATCTGGTTTGATTGGAATATCATATTCATATATCAATCTGCTTGCAGCAGCGAGTATTTTAATGACCTTTCTTCTTTCTTTAGCTTGATGTGTTTGTGCATGTATCCACATGTTTCTGGATAGAAGTGATGTATCATTCGAACAAATTAACTTTTTTATTTTTTTGGGTTAAATAGAACGAATTGATATATATATATATATTTTCATACCACAAGATTACTCCGTCTTCATCAACACCATGTAAGAAAGAAACATCAACATGAACTACTCCATCTTCTTCATTACCACAAGATTCAATTATGCTATAATCATTTAAAGTCACATCAAGATACCTAAGAGTCATCCTATCGATCGGAGAGAAACCCGACAAGCCAGCAATCCCGAACTTCAACCCGCTTATAGTCGCAGATTCGTTCATTTCTAGTCAAACAAGACCTTGCCTCCAGTCCAGCCCTCTCGCACTGCATACGGACCATACATAATCCACGATTGCAAGAAGCAATTACCTGATCATAAAATGAAACGGAGAAATGCAGATAAATTTAGAAAACTTGAAGCACGTGCAGCAAAACGAGCAAGATTTTATATTCTTAGTTCTTTTTTATGGAAGAAGTATATAAAATGTTGACATATATTTCTTTGAATCTAAAACAAAAACGAAAGCTTAGGGACAGATTGAAGCATTAGAGAAAAGAACAAGCAGCATTTGATTGACGACAAGAAGCAGCAGAACCAGCAAATTGGGTCTCTAGAACAAGGCCTAACAAAACTCTCCTAGACACTTGAAATCACCAAGTAATCACCATATACTTTTACTAATTGATTGGCTGAGGATCTGTTTTCACAAATAACAAATAATAACTGCTCATAATCATAAGCTTTGAACCCAAAACCAGGAAGCTGCTCATCTTCATCATGGTCAAAAGATTCACCAGAATCGTCACCACGTTTACCTGAGACCATCAGTGTTGCTACCATTGTTATGTATAGTTCGGACCAGAGAGTAGTGAGGCCATCACTTTTGATCCTCCCAGTGGAAGACTAGCTAGCATTGGGAAACTAATACAGAGAGAAAGCTAGAAAGATGTAGGAGAGAAGAGAATTGAATAGTAGTGAAACTATATCAGACAGCTACAATTGGTGGAAAACCATAGTGACAACAATTGTGGGAACAGCAGCACCAAAAAGACGAGAGCAGAGTGACAGATGAAGCACTGCTCGAATAGTATATAGGAAGGAGCTAGTGGATAAAGTTGCAAAATAGGAAATCAACTGATAAAAGTAACTATCATCCGCAGAAAAAAGAAAAGAAGCATTAGAAGCACAAAAGTCAGCCTATGCCTCCCAAAAAAATCTAACTTGACACCAATCATCAACTTCAACTGCCTCAGAATTGTTCAAATCCAAGTCAAAACATAACCTTGCTTCCAAACCCTGGAGGAGCATATGGATTCTGAACCTATAAATTAGGTACTCTATTCTAGGCCAAGAAAGAGAGGACATGCTCCTAGTCCACAAAAAGTTCAATTAGATGGGACTGTCCAATTAGTGTATATGTCATCAATCCAATTCAGCAAGACTCTAATGCGTGTCCATGAGTTGGTTTTGAAGGAGAAAACAGTAAAGGATGGTTTACCATTACGATTTATGCACCCCCATAAAACGCACAACTTTATATTCATTACCAGAAAAATCATAACAAATCCCATAGCTTTGATTATGATGGAAACGAGCACCATAACGTGGAAATACCTTGTGTTCTCCAGAAAACGGATTGAAAAGAAATAGCTTCTGCATTTTCTTTTTAAGCACAGATAAAAGTAACCAGCCATCACAAGAAGTAAGTATATGAATTGGTGAATAATCCTTGAAAATTGAAGACTCAACCTTCACCATTGAAGCGTTGGCCGCAACAACATCAGAAGTTGCTTCATATAAATCTAAAATGGAGTAATCTTGCTCAAACAAAAGAAAAAGATTGTGACGGTTTTTGTTCAATCTAACGAAGTGAGGCATATCGAAGCAGACCATGACTTGCAAACACAACGAAACCTATATAAAGACTTAGCTGGTAATCTCGACAGAACTTCCACAATCATATCATCTGGAAGATTTTGCATCAATTCTATATTTCCTGCTTTTTTCTTTGATCTCTCCATTGATAGTTTTCCTTATCCGCTTCCAAACCTAGCCGACTCAGGCTTCCCTGTTTTATCCTCTAAGTTGACACCCAAATTTAAGGGATAGGAAATATATATATATATATAATTTAAATAGGAATCCACTATTCTTCATAATTCTATTTAAATAGGCTTTCTTTCTTTTACTTTTTTTTTCCCTTCTTTTTTTATGCTTTTATTATTTATTATGGTTTTTTTATGGACTCACTAACTACATTAAATGTTCTTCTAATAAAAGTTAATTTAGCATCGTTTTAGGATCCGTTTTCCGATTTTCTGATTATTTTAGTGATTTTTTTTTATTGAACAAAATCAAACATATATATATATATATATATCAATAGAATATATTTAAATTCAAACATAAAATACACACATGTTTTTTTAAATACTACAAAATACATTTTAAATTAAAAAAAATTAAAATTAAAATTGATTCTTTTTAATTTCATTTGCTTCAATTTGTTACATTAATTAAAATATTTAATAATTTTTCATAAACTTACAATGCGCGGACACTATAACTCAATCATGTCAATTAAGTATTTTCATTAAAATTTCATAAATTTTTCCGTTTGGGTTCAACATTCATCACTTTGATGATTATCGTGTTTGGAAAGAGGTGAGCATTCATTCAACATTCTTTTTAGGACTAGCAAAACCATAGCTATAGGAAGAAATAACAAGTTAAAATGTGAAACTATATATTATTTCTATTTCAACTTTCATCTTCTATTTAGACTTGCACTTTTTCTTCTTCTTTTATTTACTTTTTTAAATTCTCTTAATTATAACTATTTTTTTTTCTATTTCATTAAAAAAATATATTTATTTAGAAGTGTAAGAATTCAATCTAATGAGGATTCTTTACAATTATTTGTTTTTAATAAAGATAGGAATTCATTTATTTATATAAATAAGAGATTCGACTCTTAAATGTGGTGGAGCCAATTAATTAGTTAAGGATAAAAAAATTCCCTAAATCAATTAAAAAAGAAGATATCTTCTTTTCATTTATTTATTAAAATAAGTAAAAATAAAATAAAGATCAAGTTACCAATGCATTTAAGGCACTAAGTTATTAAGTTGTATAAATACAACGAAAAGATGGGACCACAAAGGCGGGGATAGCTCAGTTGGGAGAGCGTCAGACTGAAGATCTGAAGGTCGCGTGTTCGATCCACGCTCACCGCAGTCTTTTACGTTTTTTTTTCCCTTCAACAACTGGCTGGTGGTTATGATTGTATCGGTTAGTAAATGATGTCTTTTCCCGTTAAATTCAGTTAGCACTGCATTAGCTATAGAATGCAAAAGCAAATTCCCTCTTCTAAATTCTTTTAGCTCCAAAACCCTACTAGTAACAGTTTTATCAAGAACAGAAACAATCTGGCTACCGGAGACATTCTTCGGGGGAGAAATTAAAAGCATGGATCAGGCTAGGAAGGCATGATGGTTGACGGTTGTGAGTATTTTTAATCAGTATTTTGAGCTCGGAATTTGAAGGAGGAATTGCAAGTGAAGTTGGAAGTTCAAGGGCGGAAATCAATGAAAAGATTGATAAAATTGTAATCTTGGAACTATTAGTCAAAAGAAATTGATATGCCCTCACTTCATTAGATTGAACTTATCTTTTTCTTTTGTTTGAGCAACATTACTCCATTTCAGATTTCTATGAAGCAACTTCTGATGTTTTTTTCAAGGATTACTCACCAATTCCATCGCCGATGCCCAGATACTTACTTCTGGTGATGGTTGGTTGCTTTTATCTGTGCTTAATAAGAAAATGCAGAAGCTATTTCTTTTCAATCCATTTTCTGGAGAATACAAGGTATTTCCACCTTATAATAATGGTGCTCGTTTCCACCATCATCAAAGCTATGGAATTTGTTATGATTTGTCAGGTAATGACAATAAAGTTGTGTGTATTGTGGAGTGGATAGGTCTTCATGCTAAACCATCTTTCACTGTTTTCTCCTTTAAAACTAATTCACGGACAAGCATTAGATTCGGGGCCGAATTGGATTGATGACATATAGACTGATCGAGTGGATAGACTCACTCCCATTGAATGGAGCTTTACATTGGACTGCCAATCGATCGAACGAATGAGATATTATATTTCAATTTGAGGGATGAATTTAAACAAGTGCCAGGACCTCCTGAAGAAATCTTTAATGGTAAATTCTTCACTTTGGCTGCGTTGAGAGGGAATCTTTGTGCCTGTAGTTATGGTTTGGGCTTGGATTCACTTTTGGTGATGGAAATGAAGCAATATGGAGTGAAGGAATCCTGGACTCGAGTATGTAGCATCAATATTAATCAGGGAAATAACTGGATGACGCCATTGGCATTCACCAAGAAAGCTGAACTTGTAACACCAGTCAACCGTAAGGAATTAGCGATCTACAGTGTGGAAGATAATTCATCTAAGACTATTATGAGATTCGGAGAGGTTATGGGTCCGAAAAGCATGGGAATATATGCAGATAGTTCAATCGCTCTTGATTGTGACTGTTTGCTCAATACAAAAGGAAGAAATAGTTGATCCTTGTTTTGTTAGGCTTTGTTTTCTAGCTAGAGACATGTTTTTCTTTCTTTTGTCAAGACTTCTTTGCTTGTTTTGCTGTATGCTTGTAGTAGTCAGTCCAATGCTACTCTCATTGTTTTTTGTTATTTTCTTTGGCATTCATCACCAGCGTCATCTATACCATAGTTTTAAATTATGAACGATTGAAAAACGATCATGATCACCATCACAGATCATAACTTACTGTACTACTAAAATAACAATATCATAATACTTTGAAATCGTTACATAACAGTCGTTAAATAACGTAATTGTTGTTATTTAAAATTATGATCTATATAGGTCGGAGGAGGAAAACTTAGAAGAGGAACTGTCAAACAAGTCTGGAAGTAGGAATGTGAGCTCTGCAACTCATTTTCATGGGCTTTTGTGGCAATTTAATCCAGTACAATTTCTGATCATATCATATGAACCCATACTTGCGCAACGAAAGACCTTCCTTCAACACCAATATTACGTGAGTTACTCATGATCTCTTTAACAACAATATCATTGATTACCTACTTGGGAAAAATGTATTGGGAATGATGGAACATGCAAAGTTCAGCATGATAGTTTTGTTTTTATAGATAATCCTATAAAGAAAGATAATTTTTCCGACAGATCATATTTTCAGTGATTAAGACTGCTTTCAATTTGAATTTTCTTTGTAGATGGGCTTTGAATTTGTTGGCGATCCTGTATTTTAGCCAATCTTGCTACCTTAGCTTCTCACCTCAATCTCTTTGACTTTAATCTCTGATTCAACATTGTTCATTTTCAATTCGCTTTGTCTCTGTCAATAGCTACTGATGTGAGTTTTCATTGAAAACTCTGGTTGAACTTAGTTGGTATAATTAGTTTATAAAGTCAGCTTTGTTCCAAGACAACTTCAATAAAATCTCTCCCTTGTACTTTAAGTTCAGATGGCAAAAGAACTTTCAATATGTAGCTCGGTAATAAGGAACCAAAAAAAATAATAATAATAAAAAAAAATCTTGAAAAATAAAGATGACGTGTCAGCCACTAATTGATAGTGTTATAACAAAGATTTTGAAGTAAAAAATTTCATAGAATAAAAAGTTTTAATCAAACTAAAAAAAATAAAGGATCTCGATATTTTTTTTGAAAAATAGAAGGCCTAAAGTGGAAAAAACCCAATTCAAAATAAAAAAGGAAGAAGAATGACTATTGGTTGCCACTAACATTGAAGATTCAAATAGACTTGGAATTATGTAGAAGTAAGATTCAAATGGACTTGAAATTGTGTAGAAGTTAACCCAAAACTTTGAATAATTACTTGGGCTAAAAATATATAACAATCTTGAATTTTAAATCATTTGAGATTGAGTTCTTTAACTTTTTTTTTTTTTAAGATTTAATCCTTTTTTAAGTTTTCTATCATTTATCTCAAAAACTAATAATCACATAAACAGTTTGAGGATGGAAATCATTGAGTGAGATTTAGGTGAAGCTCCTCAAAAAAATTTGAGTTCATTTCAGAGTTATTTTCAATTTTTTCTGATTTTCTATATTTTTAATATTCAAAAAATAATATACATATATATATATATATATATATATATATATATATATATATTCAATTTTGAAAAATTCTAGAATTTTTCTACAAAATTAATTGAATTTTTTTCGACGTGTGCGTAAAATTTCAATTCAAAATATCAAGAATTGAATTTTTTAGAAGAAGAGATAATAACTGAAAATCATTAAATTGACTAAATCTTACATAATCAAAAGTTTCGGAATCTTCAAAACTAATAAAAAAAAATTAGGGACTCAACCCTAAATAATTTAAAGTTCAGGACTTGTTAGATTTTTAAACTAATTACTTAATTGACATGCATGATTGGCCGGTAATAGGTGGTGGCTGGCAATTTTCACATGCTTGAAAGTTTTTTTTTTTTTTTTTTTTTTTTTGAGAAAGAAAACGTGGAGGAATTGAAGATGCGGGCATTGCTTGCCAACTGGAATTAGAAGAGTCAAAGTTTAAAGCACCTATTTAAATTTGTAGATAACTTCGAATCATCTTAAAGTCTTAAAATTTTGTGTTTTTGACAAGTTTGTAGAGAAACATGAGTTTAAACGTGATTTTCATTTTCAGGATTATTGGTAAGCAAGATAAATTAGTCCCTTTACCTTTGAAAATGAATGAATTAGTTTTTTTTTTAAAAAAAAACTAATAATTTATTCTTTTTCATCCAGTTTATATTTTTTTTCAATTTATTTTATTTTTTTAAGTAGAAAAAAAATATAAATTATGAAAAGATTGATGAGAAAAAAATATAATTTAAAATAAATAATATTAAATTAAGTATGATAAACAATAATCAAATAATTAGTTTTAAAATAAAAAGAGACTAATTAATTTGTTTTGTTTTTTAAATAAAGGGTTCAATTTATAATTAACTTGTCGTACATATGAAATTTCCAATCACACCCCTTCTCTCCGCGTCTTTTGTGAGTTTACCTACTCTTCAAAATCGCTCACAGACAAAAGTCACCAACCACATATGACTGCCACGTGTACATTCCAACCTCCACGAATCTTCACATGATGATTTCAGATTTTGTTTTTTTCTTGGTGTAAAATATTTAAAACCGAGTAAATTATAAATTAGTCCCTTTAGATTTGTAAAATGGCTTAATTAGTTCATAGTATTTTAAATTTTAGTTTTTAATTTTTTTGGTTCATTTTATGTTCTTTCTTAACTTGTTTCGTTTTTTTGTTTAAAAAAAACAGATAGATATTAGAAAGATTGAGGAAAAAAAAAGATATTTTTTAGAATAAAATAATATTAAATAAATAGCTTTTAAAATAAAAGAGATTAATTAATTAATTTCTCAAATCTGGAGACATTAATTTATAATATAACGTGGGACACCCCCCCCCCCCCCAAAAAAAAAAAACTATTGCAAAGAGTAGATATTTTCTAAACAAATTAAATTTATTAAATTTTAAATAAATAAAAGCCACATTTTAATTAAATAAATTTATTAGATTTTGTTTTTCTTTTAACACAAATTGGATCAAAACCTATGTTTATTTACACATAAGGATATGATTAAATCCCAATTTTAATGAGAGGCTACTGACACTAAATACTTTATTTTGTATTTTTGCATTTTGAACAATAATTTAAGAAAGTGTGAGTTGTGTTGTTATACCCTTTTTCTTACAATTAAGATTAAAAAGAAGAGAAAATGCTTAGAAAGCTGCATGATTCTTGCATCTTGGAAACCAGAGCCACGCATGACAAAACCAAAAAGATTGCCATATTCATAACAATGGAACTCAAATCCATTTTGCTTGAGTAAGATGGCAAAGGATCTATCCTTTTCTCCTCTCTTTCTTCTTTATCAATTTTTTTCCTGTTTTCGGCCAAGACAAACTGCATGAAAGCAACCATTCTTTTTTTTTTTTTTCTTCCTTATAAATATATTTTACAGTTTATAATTAATGGTTAGACAGACTGCATGAAAGCAACCTATTCGGATTTCTTTATAATAAAACTTTTTTTTAACTTTAAATACTAAAAAAGAAAAAAAAAAAAAAAAGAAGAATCCATAACTATTTACAAGGGAAAAGGTTGACTCTGCAATAACAGACACCTATAGGGGAAATGAACCCTAAATGCTTAACTGTACTTGAGGTATGACTAGAACTTTGGTCGTCGACAGGGGCAGAACATGGTTTCATGCACGATCCTGCTAGATTCGGAGTTTGGACAGAAAACATTTGGTAGAATGACACTCAGTAGGAGGGCATGACGCCAGCACATGGAATTCGCATGAATATCATTTGAGATTTGGTTTTGATTTCACTCAAGACAACCTTTGAATCTTGAACTATATAACAATTTTTTGTCCAAATTAAGATAATTAGGGCATATGATATTGTTTGTAAATGATGTTTAATTTATTTTTCGAAATGAGAAGGATTAATGTATAATTTACTCGTAATTATAGGGTCCAAAGGTGCAATATTACCACACCATCATATGTAAATTAGACATCATCATTTGAGATTTGGTTTTGATTGTTATTGGTCTTAACGAACAGTCAAAATCTCAATTGCCTAATATATAATTTTCGTATGGTTATAGTTGGAGGTTGGTGAAATCAACGAGCCATCTCCTCTCCAACTCTCTCTGATAATTCAGTGGGTTTGTTCCTGTCATTCTCCCCACCCACTCAAATCAATCCTGACCGTCCACTTTTCACATCCAACAGCTAAGATCTCTAACATGGACGCCAGACATTCAAACATGGACCCCACTCAACAGGTAGTAATAGACCAAAAATCCAACAGTAAAGACGACATAATAGCGAAGGGCCAGTTGTGTGTCTATAAATAAGGAGCCAAAGCATCAATGTAAGAGCCACCAAAGAGTCTTTCTTAGCTCATCTGTAAGGACTCGATCTTTTCCTGCTCTGCTCTTTCTTGGGTTTTCTCCATTCATTTCAAGGGTACGTTTCGTTGTGCTTTTTTTTTGATTTCTTATTTTTGTTGTGAAATTAGATAGTGTATGTTGAGTTTTGCAGTTTTAAACTTGATATAATGTCAGGAGTGTGAAAATTACTTAAGTTTTGGTTTGATTTGGAGTAAAGTTTGTGTTTTTCTATCTGGAAATTTAGATTTTGGATTGGTAATGTTGATTTTATAGTCTTTCAGCGTATTTGAAGTAAAATTCTTGATGGGTTTTTTCTGTAGTCATTGCTTGATCTAGAAAGATGGCTGTTTATGCTTCTCTAGGGAGAGAATAGCTTTGTTGATCCTCTAATTATATCAGAAGGTCTTGCTTAGTTTGATCTTTGTTTTAGTTTTTTTACATAGATTTGGTCGAAACTCTGTTTGGGCTTGAGTGATTGGTTCTTCTTAGTCTTGCTATGGTTTGATTCGAAGAAACTTGCAGCGCTATGCATACTTTGACTTACTAGTGTTTGAAGATATTGAATTTTGGATGTGGTTTTGTGCTCTGCAGGTAAGACGATGGAAACCTTCTTGTTCACTTCTGAATCTGTGAACGAGGGTCACCCCGATAAACTCTGTGATCAAGTTTCAGATGCAATTCTAGATGCCTGCCTTGAGCAAGATCCAGAGAGCAAGGTTGCATGTGAGACTTGCACCAAGACGAACATGGTTATGGTCTTTGGAGAGATCACGACTAAAGCAAATGTAGATTACGAGAAGATTGTGCGCAACACTTGCCGTTCAATAGGATTTGTTTCTGGTGATGTTGGTCTTGATGCGGACAAATGCAACGTCTTAGTTAATATCGAGCAGCAGAGCCCTGATATTGCACAGGGTGTCCATGGTCATCTTTCAAAGCTCCCTGAGGAGATTGGTGCTGGTGATCAAGGTCACATGTTTGGCTATGCCACTGATGAAACCCCTGAGCTCATGCCTCTTAGTCATGTTCTTGCAACGAAGCTCGGTGCCCGCCTTACTGAAGTTCGCAAGAATGGAACCTGTGCTTGGTTGAGACCTGATGGCAAAACACAAGTCACTGTCGAGTACTACAACGAAAATGGTGCTATGGTTCCGATACGGGTGCACACTGTTCTAATTTCTACACAACATGATGAAACTGTTACTAATGATGAGATTGCTGCTGATCTCAAAGAGCATGTTATTAAGACTGTCATCCCTGAGAAGTATCTTGACGAAAAGACCATTTTCCACCTTAACCCATCCGGGCGGTTTGTCATCGGCGGACCACACGGTGATGCTGGACTTACTGGTCGTAAAATTATTATCGATACCTATGGTGGTTGGGGAGCACACGGTGGTGGTGCCTTCTCCGGCAAGGACCCTACCAAGGTAGACAGGAGCGGTGCCTACGTTGTTAGGCAGGCAGCCAAGAGCATTGTTGCTAGTGGCCTTGCTCGACGATGCATTGTTCAGGTCTCTTACGCTATCGGCGTGCCAGATCCGTTGTCGGTTTTTGTTGAGACATATGGGACTGGAAAGATCCCAGACAAGGAGATTCTCAAAATTGTGAAGGAAAATTTTGATTTCAGGCCTGGTATGATTTCCATTAACTTGGATCTTAAGAGGGGTGGCAACGGCAGGTTCTTGAAGACAGCTGCGTATGGTCACTTTGGAAGGGATGACCCTGACTTTACATGGGAGGTAGTGAAGCCCCTCAAATCTGAGAAGCTCCAACAGTAAAATCATGGCATGGCCTGTTATCAATAATTTGCTTGCTCCTGGCAGCTTCTCTGAAACCCAAGAGTCTTCCAATTGTTTTCTTGCCTGTCTTTCTTTTGCTGCTTATTTTTTTGATTTTTTTTTTCAATCTTTTGTATGCTTTTGATGCTTTATGAGATTGTTCAAGAAGAAGAGGATAGAGATTTAATGTAATGCTGTAAAAGGATAAACTACAGATAAAATGAATTTATCAGTGGATTAAGATGATTATTCTACTTATCCTCTTCACAATCTTCTGTTTGCTTTGTTCTGTTCTCTTACAAATAGATTGTTAGCAAAACAAAATGAAATATGATCATTTCCACTCAGTTGCTGAACTCTCTTATCCAAAGAATAGAAGAACCAGTGTACTTTCCCCAGTTTCAGACAGAGAAACTACAAAATGCTTGAAGAACCACTCCCAACTCTGGATAGGAAATAGCAAAGGAGAACAGTATAGCCAAACACTACATGTTAACCACTTAGATAGAGTGCCAACACAAGGTTGATGATGCATATAAAGATCAGAAAGTAACAGTGTTTGCTCCAGATATACACATACATGCATCGGTGAACATATTACAGACATAGCATCACTTTCTTTGTCCCTTCATATGAATAAATGCATAGAGATTCGAGCAGAGAAATCTAAATGACTCGCCATCTTTACACTGCCATGAAACATACATGTAGAAAGTGGATGAATGTCCTGCTAGTGAAGCCAGCAGGTTGGTCCACAGTCTTGTGCTCTGGTTTCCTTCCAGGACCTCAGATTTCTAGCCACTAGATATGTTGGCCTGCTTCATGTTTCTGGTAGAAAGAACGAGCAAGGGATTCTTGACAAAAGAAAGAAAAACATGTTTCTATCTAAAGCTAACAAAACAAGAATCAACTAATTCTTCTTTTTGTATTGAGCCAACAGTCACAGTTAAGATTGATTGAACCATCTGCATATATTGCCATTTCCCTTCTTTTCGGATACATCACCTCTCCTAATCTCATAATAATCTTAGATGAATTTTCTTCCACGTTGTAGATCGCTAATTCTTTACCGTCGACTAGTGTTACAAGTTCACCTTTCTTGGTGAATGCCAATGGCGTCATCCAGTTATTTCCCTGACTAATATTGATGCTAAATACTCGAGTCCAGGATTCCTTCACTCCATATTGCTTCATTTCCATCACCAGAAATGTACCCAAGCTCAAACCAGAACCCCAGGCACAAATTCCCTTTCAAGGCATCCAAAGAAAAGAAGTTACCAGTAAAGATTTCTTCAGGAGGTCCTGGCACTTGCTTAAATTCATCCTTCAAATCGAAACATAATATCTCGTTCTTGTACCAGGCACTCCAATGTAAAGCTCCATTCAATGAGACCGGGACTGTCCAATCAATGCCAACAATCCAATTCAGAACAACCAAATCTGATTCTTGTCCACGAATTAGTTTTAAAGGAGAAAACGGTGAAGGATGGTTTAGGATAAAAACCTGTCCACCCCTCAACACACATAACTTTATAGTCATTACCAGAAAAATCATAGCAAATTCCATACCTTTGACCATGACGGAAACGAGCACCATAAGGTGGAATTACCTTGTATTCTCCAGAAAATGGATTGAAAAGAAATAGCTTCTGCATTTTCTTATTAAGCACAGATAAAAGCAACCCATCACAAGAAGTAAGTATCCGAGCATCAGCAAGCAGTGATGAAATTGGTGAATAATCCTTGAAAATTGAAGACTCAACCTTCACCATTGAAGCATTGGCCGCAACAACATCAGAAGTTGCTTCATGTAAATCTAAAATGGAATAATGTTGCTCAAACAAAAGAAAAAGATTGTGACGGTTTTCGTTCAATCTAATGAAGTGAGGGCATATCAAATCAGACCATGACTTGCAAACACAACGAAACCTATACAAAGACTTAGCTGGTAATCTCGAGAGAACTTCCACAATCATATCATCTGGAAGATTTTGCATCAATTCTATCTTTTCTGCTTTCTTCTTTGATCTCTCCATTGATAGCTTACCTCACGGATCCGCTTCCAAACCTAGCAGACTCAGGCTTCCTTTTATTCTATTCTTCTATACGTTGAAACCAAATTTTAGGGACAGCAAATATGTATACACATATCTATATGAATAGGCTTCCTTCCTTCTTGTTCCTACTGTCGTTTGGGCCAACAATTGGGCCTATTTTCTAAATTCCAATTTGGGCCAAAATGTAACATATTTGGACTGAAATGGACAGAGATATCAAATTTGGCCCAATCGCTGTAAAGTTGGACAGTGGTCTTTCCAAAACAGACTTTGACTTCCCTCTTTCTTGTTCCTACTGTCGTTTTGTTGTTTTCCATCTTCTTCCGCATCCTGTTTAGTTTTGAGATTTTCTATTCATCAGACCAATGGGTTTGTTCTCAATTATCAATCTGTTGAGGTTTTCTTGAGCTTTAGCCACCAGGAAACTGGCAAGACTTCTAGCGATCATCGCTACAAAGCTCTGACTAAGGCTGGGATTCGCACTTTCAGAGACCAAGATGGAATTTACAGAGGAGGGAAGAGTGGCATCAAATCAAGAAGGCAATAGAAGAATCGAGAATATCAGTTGTTGTGTTTTCTAAGGACTATGCATCTTCAACACAGTTCCTTTAATTCCATGCATTTATCTGTTCATTTATTCCAAACAATTTGGCTGATCAAATTAAACTGATGATGATGGAATTAGCTAGGCTTTGATGGTTTTTGGCCAAGTTTCATACACGTATTAATTTATATATAAAAGAGACTTTACCTTCATCTTTCTTTGAAAAAGAAGAAAAAGCTCTATCCCTTCTTTCCTTTTTCTTTCCATTAGTCTACTCTTTCGGCCAATCAGCTACTTGTTCGTTCCCCAAAAGAATCAAGTTAGATCTCCATCAATCCAACGCAGATTACTCATCAAACAACCAAATCTTTGTCTCTTTGGACATTGGAGCATTTATCTTCATCGCTCAAACCGATGGCTTTTTTCAACGCGTTAGTGACCCAAATCTTGATTCTTCTCCCTTTAATGCCTAGTCCTACTTATCATGACGCGTTCTTGAGTTTTCGAGGCAAAGACACTCGCAAGAATTTCACCGATCATCTCTACACAGCTTTAACTAGAGCAGGAGTTCACACTTTCAGAGATGATGATGGAATTAGGAAAGCAATTCAGGAAGCCAAACTATCTATTATCGTGTTTTCTAAAGACTACGCCAGCTTCTTCGAGATGGTATCTTGATGAGCTCGTAATGGTTATGGAACGTAGAAGAACTGCTGGGCACATAGTGTTTCCAGTTTTCTACGATGTGGATCCATTTGAGGTTGGGAGGCAAACAGGGGGATATGGGGAAGCTTTTGCTAAGCATGAAATACTGTTCAAGGGCGAGATGCAGACTCTTAAAGAAGTTGCATACATGGAAGGAATGGTCTTAGAAGACGGGTACTATTTTTTTTGAGAAAATTCCTACAAATTAATAGCTTAGATTAATTAAGAATCATCTTCAGGATAGTTTTGCCTCATTCCATACTCAAACACTAAATTCTCTAAAATTTTCAAAACCATGCTTTAGGAAATTGCTCAATACCTTTAACCGTGATTGCTTGGAACAAACATAGCCAACTATTCTACGGAAAAAGAGTTTGAGCAGCATGAGAGAAATCATGCAATTAGTAGAGAAATGAAGACGTTGAAGGGATATCCTTGGACATTTCAAAAATTAGTAGGGAAATTAAGTTAGTTTTTGCAAGGATGTGCAAAATAAACTTAGATTGCTCAAAATTTATAATTCTGTAGTTAGAATTTAGAAATAACCATAAAAGTGCTGCTTCCTCATGGCCTAAAGTCCCTTTTTTAGGAGATTGAGGTATGTGCATTGGGATGCATAATACTTTGATCTTTGAGTTCTTCGCCTTCCAATATTTGTCCTGAGAACCTAGTTGAACTTAGCCTATCAACTAGCTGGAAGGAGGCCATAACAAATATGTCAACCTTAGCGACTGTCAGCAACATCAGTATCGATTTCCTAGTGGGCAGAGTCCTTTTTCTGCAGAATTTCATTGGCAGCAATTTTGGAATCTGTTTCGAATATTGCTTCACATCTGATGTGAAGAAGCAGATATAGAGCTTCCCTAATAGCCATTGTTTCTCCTTGAAGCACTGATCCGAAACGTTTCTTTATAGTTCTACCACCCCCCACATGACCGTTCTTATCCCGTAACATCACACTGATTCCTGCCAGAGAATTCGCAACCATTAAAGACATCGTAATTAGCCATTAGAGTTTCTATTCCACAAGTTTGATTGGCAAGGGACTGCATTTTTCAGTGATCTATAGATGAAGTTCTTGTCCTTTGGGGCAGCAGTGACCTTCCATATGGAATTCCAAATAAGAGGGCTTGTTAGAGAAGTTGATGTGCTTGCAGTAGTTCTCTCCTATTCTTTGCACAGTAGCCATTACCCGATTTTACAGTATATCTTCCAATGCGATTTTATATTTATACCTGCCTGTATCAGCGGTACCTGCAGCATTCAAGCTGCAGATCATAAGAAGCTCCTCGAAGTTCGCCAGTAAACTAAGGAAGTTGGCTTTCGTAACATATATAGGGATTAATATTTGTTGGAAGATACAGTCTAGAAGATTGAGTTGAGGAATTAGCTCCTATAAATTAGCTAAATCAAATCCATTAGTAGTTAATATACAGCTATAGTTTCCTAGTATAGCTACACTACTGTATTATATAAACTTGTACCCGCATAATGAAAAGTGAGAGCAATACACATACCTTTTGCTAATCCTATTTTCTAGAATATTCATATAGGTTCTTATGATCCACATGCAAAAAATACCCTCATAGTTGTGACACTACACAAACTCAATTAAACATTCATCCAAACGTAGGAGGAGATAGCAATCTTAGCATATGGAAGTTTGATCAAATTGCTATTAGAAATGTTTTAGCTTACATGATGATTGTAGATGAAGTTACATTTACGTTTCTGGAGGGTTTGGGGCTCAAGGAGTATATGTCCATTACACAACCTAGATAAATGTTTTTTCCTTCCTCTCACATAAGTCTACAATTCAAAAAAAAAAAAAACAGAGTTGTAATAGGCAATTAATGATGGTAAAACAGAAGCCACAAACACATGAGAAACAAACAAAATTAAAAAAAAAAAAAAAGATTTTGATTAGTGAATCCCTATGAATAATTGTTGTATAATCGGCATGAGTATTTTTTTTTTTTTTTAGGCTGCAAATATATGAAAAAGAGAGATGTTTTTTTTTTTTTTTTTTTTTTTGAATTATAGACTTATGTGAGAGAAAGGAAAAAAGTATTGTATATTTTGATTAACTTAAGATTGTTGTATAATCCCTATGAATAATTGTTGTATAAAGATTGTTGGAATTGTAGACTTATTGTCTAAGTAATCTATTGGTTTCTTAGATTTCATTATCTCTCCTTAACCAATAAAAGCTGCAAAAAAAAAAAAAAAAAGATATAAAATCACAAAATCCAATGGTATTGAAAGGAGAAGAAAGAGGATCAACAACTGGGATGCAATGAATGTGAACAAACAGTAAATGAATTATAATAAGTCTGATTATTTTAATTTTTTTGTAATATGATAGACCCCGCTAAGCATTATTTGCTTAATTAAATAACATTATGAAATTGCCATGCCAAGCATGATTCAGTGGGTTATTGTATTTTATCCTAAACTTTCTAATATTAAATCAAACAATCCTCGATGGGATGATCAACTTCCAATCTTTCAGATTTTGTGCTATACATATAATATTTAAGCTTCTATAAAAAAAAAAAAAACAATTCTATGTCTACGGAAATCATGCAAATCACATCTTGAGTTGGAACTTTTCAAGTTTTCACCCCTTTCCTCGTTGAAAAAATAAAAAATAAAAAAGTTGGCGATGTTGAATGCAATTTTGAATACTTACAAGCAGATATACGCTTCTTCACGTTTCCTCCAATACCAAGCACAATTCGTTCTCTTTCTCTCTCTCTCCTCAGTGTAAGGTCCATTCTGCTTTTCTTTTTTCCTCCATGGCAGCCAGCTCCTTTACCTCTCTGCCAAACGAGGGAGACCAAGAAAGCCAAGGCTACCAAACGACCTACAAAAGATGCAACGACATAATCCCAACACTTCCCAGAGATACCGGCTGGTGGTTGAGCAATCTCTGCCAGTACCAAGGGTTTTGGCTGTCATCGAGCCATGCCATACTAGGGCTAATGTTGGTCCAAGACCACTTCATGTCTAAACCTACAGATATTATCTTGGCAACATCTCCCAAATGTGGTACTACATGGCTTAGAGCCCTTATCTTTGCCACCATAAACCGAACATCCTATGATTTTGCAACACACCCTTTGCTCACCAATAATCCCCAAGCTTTGGTTCCCTTCTTAGAGGGCCACATCCGAGTTAATGATTCCACTTCTTTCCTTGAGTCTCTTCCGTCGCCTCGCTTTCTCTCTACTCACATCCCTTACTCTTTGTTTCCGGATTCAATGAAGACATCCGGTCCCAAGTTTGTCTATGTTTGCCGCAACCCGAAAGATGTTCTTGTTTCTAAATGGAAGTTTGCGGAGAAGATGAGGCCTAAAGAAATGCCACCTCTTTCACTGCAAGATGCATTCGAATTGTTTTGCAATGGAGTCTCACACTATGGACCCTTCTGGGATCACGTTCTCAGTTATTGGAAAGCCAGCTTAGAAACCCCGGAAACGGTATTGTTTCTGATATATGAGGACATGAAAAGAGAGCCTTTGGTTCAAGTAAAGAGATTGGCTGAGTTTTTAGGCAAGCCCTTTTCACCTGAGGAAGAGAGGGAAGGTGTGGTACAAGAAATTGTAAGACTCTGTAGTTTCAAAAATTTGAGCACTTTGGAAGTGAACAAAAGTATTATCTCCACTGAATACTTCGTCCAAAACCCTTATTTTTTCAGAAAAGGTGAAGTTGGAGACTGGGAGAATCATCTTACCCCTGAGATGGTTGCTCGTCTTGATCAGATTACAAAAGAGAAGCTAGAAGGCATTTTATGTGACAAGTGGAAGGTGCGGATTGATTTAAGTCGTGAAGAGAATGACGGGGAACAATCTACTGATCAATTACCAACCCCACGATCAGAATAAGAGAATAGAAAGACCAAATCTCAGAGAAATGGTGTTTAATTTAGATTTAATTGTTTCGGGTTTGTTTTTTCTGTTTCTGTCATTTGATTGTTTTTGCAATATTGCAGTACTATTGCCACTTCTTTTTCTTATTATTTTATACCGTAAATTTGGTCTCAGACAATATTGTTTGACAACAATGTCTGTCGGCACAAAAGAAAACCATTAACAACTAAACACGTGGATATCATTGATCGATGAAAACGAAAGGCATGCAAGGAGCGAAAAGAATATGGTCCTACAACTTTATATTGTCATATTACATTATGTCCCGTGAATGTGATAGTGTAGCTTAGGATTTTATATTTTACGGTATAAATTGATTTATGCATAATATAAAAAGCTATGCAGTGAAATTTATAAATAGAGAAAAATCCTTTTATCACTTCCCCTTGAATTCTCCATCAAATTAATAATTGTATACACTTGATCAATAATCAGACAAACGAAATGCTATTTTTTTTATAAAACAAAATTAACAACATAATGTAAAAAATAATGTTGTTTTGGCATTTCATGTAACGATGAACTCAACTCAGTTGACTATTACAAATAACGATGATTTTATAATTTAAATCACATTATATGAACTCAACTCAAGATTATGAAATTTGATACTAAAAGTTTAAAATTGTTAGATAGCAATAGAACAAGAGCAAAAATTATCGTAAAACCCATTATCAAAAAACTAATTTTACTAATTAATTTGATTTGGATGTTGGATAAAAATATCTTCAAAACTAAATTACTATTAATATATGGATAAAAAAATAGTTGTAATAAGTTGTAATTCAATTGTTATTAGTGTTCTTTCTTTCTCAAGAAGTCTCAAGTTTGTATTTATATTTTATTAGAAATTATTACATATTTGGTGTGTGAATTTTTAAAAATTTTTAGAAGAGTAATTTAAATTCTTTTTTTTCTTTTTTAATTTTCACAAATCATATTTTATTCTCACTGTTTTTTTTTCTTTTTAAGTTTAGATATTGTAACTATTAAATTCTATGATTTAGCCTCAGTCCATCAGCATTTAAAAAATAATAATAAAGAAAAAGACATAAGCGAAACAATGTGCCAGGACAGGACGCTTGAGAAGATAAAAAGTGAAGGTTGGTGGGCTGTCGCTGCAGTTTGTCAAAGATATGGGACCATATTCTTTTCCCTTCCTGCACATCGTTTCATTTCATCACCCAATGGATATCCACGTGTTTAGTTGCTAATGGTTTGCATCCTTCCACTTTCCTTTTTTCTTTTAAAAAAAAAAAAATTGAAATATCTCTGAGAATAAATTATAAATTAGTCCTTATTTTCAAAAACTAATCATTTAATCTTTATATTTTAAAATTTATTATTTATTTATTTTTATTTTTTAAGAAATAAAAAAAGAAAAAATATATAAAAATACTGATTAAAAAATATTAAATTTCATGAAATTAAATTAATATTAAATTAAATATGATTAATAATGATTAAAACATTAAATAATAATTTTTAGAACAATGAGGATTAATTAATTTATTTTTTGAAATTAGAGAGACTAATTTATAGTTTACTCCCCACGAGGGCATCAAGGGAGGTTGTTGGGAGGGAAGGGGGTAGAAAAAAGGAAAGCTACAGAGAGAAGGCGAGATTGAGGAGGTTGTGTTGAGTTGATTAGTGACGTGTTCAGCAATAGATCCAACGAATTTGGATTCACAACTTCAAACATATAAATCCCAAATAACTAATTAGTAAAAACAATATATTTATCTAATTCTATTCAATCAATTTCTAGGCAGAGGAAGGTGGTTGAAGAAGGAAGATCAGACTGTTCTAAATCCCAATTTTACTAAGGAAGTTGCAGATCATAAAAACCTCAAAGTTCCTCAGAAAACTAAGGAAGCTGGCTTTGGTAATATAAAAATTAATGATCATTGTTAAGAGTATAGATTTAATGCTATATGTAAGTACTCAATGATGGACTTGTACTTAGGCTTTGCACTTGAGGCGAATCAAGTTTAATTTCTAACAGTAACTACATGGTTAGGCCAATACAGTCCATACATAGATGATGTTGGTGATGCTGTGGAGGGCTAAATTAAAAGTACTATGTAACTTGAAAGTTTGTTTTGAGCTGTTGTTTCAGCTTGTTCTAATTTTATGACTGTTCTTGTGAAAATTACTTTAAGTTCTGGTTGATTTGAAGTAAAATTTGTATTTTTCTACCAGAAATTTTAGATTTTGGATTGGTAATGTTGAATTTAGATTCTTTTAATTTATTTGAAGTAAAATTTTTGGTGAGTTTTTTCTGTAGTCATTGCTTGATCTAGAAAGATGGATGTTTATGCTTCTCTAGGAAGAAGAATAGCTCTGTTGATCCTCGTTAAGTATACGAGGAAAGCGATCGAGATTGTGTCATTTTTTAATGTCTGTCATCGTTCATGAAGCTTTATTTTTTCACGTAAAGGAAAAGGGTATATCTCCAAGCATTTTATTAGTGTAGTAATTAAATATCAGCATGAAAAAGCCACTTTGTCCAAAAGGTAAAGTTGGTCTCTGCTTGTTGGGGTCCTTCCTGTTCATATAACGTGATCAGTACTTCTTTATAGGACATGATGTTTATTGTCTAAATCACATCCTTACAGGTTGGGCCCAGTTGTTTTTTTAAAAAAATGTAACCTTTTTGTGAATTCAACGAATCAAATGCGAACAACATACTAAGAATACATTAAAAAGGAATCTATCATTAATATGTGAAGTTAACTCAAAGACATCCTTACCGTTTTATATATATATATATATATATACATAAAAGTTCTATCAAACTAAGTTGCCATATAGATGATTTTATTACACAATTTGAACAACATTATGAAAACATAAATACATGAGCTTTGCTTAGTTTGACCTTTGTTTTAGGTTTTAACATGATTTGGATCTTCTTAGTCTTGCTATAGTTTGATTCGAAGAAAATCGACAGCGTTATGCATACTTTGACATGCTAGTGTTTGACGATATTGAATTTTGAATGTGATTTTATGCTCTGCAGATAAGAGAACATTAGTTGTTACTCATAAAAATTCTCCATAGCAATTAAGATTGCTATTTTAAAAAAAAAAAAAAAAAAAAACAGGAACGATACCCTAGTAATTTATTAATCAAAAGAAATGAGAAAAAGGAGACGATAAACTAGCCTAGCCCACATTTGGCTAAATTATGTTTTAAAGAATCCTTTAACCTAAAAGATTAAGGGTTTTTTTTTTCTTTTATATATAGCTCAGGATTAAAAAGACACATAGGGCCCCAATGAATAGCAAGCAAGATGAAGGAAAACAAAACTAAACTGGAGGAGAAGTAGAAAACCAATGAACCACATCAACAATTGGAACATAAACGGATATGATCCAAAAAACTCTTCTCAATTAGAATGATTTCCAAAGCATAAGAACATTACATAAACAAATAAAAAAAATAGGAAAAGAAAGACAAAAGCAAGAAAACAATAGGAAGATTGTTGGGTTTCATAGCTGCTGTCAAGAACAATCAAATTAATGATTATAGCCATGCCGCGATTTTACTCTTGGACCTCATCACCTCCAACTTAAATTCAGGGTGGTCATCCCTTCCAAAGTGATCAACTATCAGTTGTTCTGGAATAATTGCACCATCCATCTTAATAATGAACTATATAAAATCCGAAGATGGAGTACCAAACTGCTAATTTCTATTCATTCATAATTCACAAGCCATGAGCATGTAACTCGCAGAATTCAAATTATTTCAATCCTAACAGTAAAGCAACTGATTACCTTAACTATTACTGTTTATACCCTACTTGCTTTGGTTCTAGATAAAATTTTGATCCAATAAGATTGAATGATGTCTATTACGTACATGACCGAATGGATGAATTAGTCATCCGTATTCCTACTATATCTTGGTCCATTTCTAACTTATTCACCTGCATGGCCCAGATTTGATATGTTTGGGTCCATTTCTCTCAAGACATTTTGGTTAAAAAGACATTATGGTGTAAAAATAAAAATAAATTTTTGTTTTGTCTACTTATCATGGTAATTTTGTTGTTTATTTATTTTGGAAGACTTTTTGGGCTTCCCCACCTCCCATGTAAAGTTGAAGTCATCCCTTCCAGAATGACCATAAGCTAGTAATGGTAATGAACTATATGAAATCTGAAAAATGGGTGCTAGTTGCTATTCATTCATAAGCCAAATGAACATATAATTCAAATCTTTTCGATCCTAATAGTTTAGCAATTGATTACTTTATTTTATTTATTTATTATAGAAATAGATCATTATATGTTTAGTGTGCAAACCTTTCAATCTTTTATATTCGAATGTTTCAATTTTTTTTTCTCAATTTGAATGTGTGAATTTTCAATTTTTTCTAATCAAGTTTTTTTATTAGATTCATGCTAATAAGATTGTTAAATTGATACATCACTAAGTTGATATGTCCATTATGTGATTATATATATATAACAGAGTATCTGTATTTTTTTTCTATTTGTATTTTTAAAAATTTATCGATAATTATTATTAATTTTGAATCTAATGAACATCCATTTTGAAATGTTATGTAAGCCACATTTTGACCAAGCAAAATGAAATTAAAAATTAAAACTGCAAACAATGATGACTATTCAATGTAACTTGTTGATTTTTTTTTTAAAAAAAAGTCAACTACTCTCTTCTAAAAAGATTTCAAAGTTCACACACCAAATATATAATAATCTCTTATAAAATTAATATAGATACAAAATTAAGACTTGAGAAAAGAAAAAAATTAGTAACAATAGAATTACAACTTGTTACTACTAAAGTTTTTTTTTCCCTATATATTAATAGTAAAATGGTTTTGAAGATATTTTTATCCAACATCCAAATCAAATCAATTAGTGAAATTAGTTTTTTGGTAATATGTTGGAATTGGATTGGTAAAACTGTGTCGAATTCGTAATAACATAAACTCATTTCTTTTATCTTGTTATTCAAAGTAGATTCGACAAAAAATGATCATTAAGTAGCTAGCTCAAATCCTGATTTTGTGAGAATATGACCATTGCAGTGAGTAAAGACTTGCCATGTTTTGTGAGAACATGATCATTGCAGTGAGTAAAGAAATGTGGAAAAACCTCATTTTATTTTTTTTATCGGATTAGAAAGAGTTTCTTGGGATTGAATTATAACACTGGGATTTCAACTGCTAAAAAAAAAAAAATAGCACTTCAATTGTCTGATTGTTGATCAAGTGTATAAAATTATTAATTTGATAGAGAATCCAAAGAGAAGTGATAAATAGATTTTGGTGTATGTATAAACTTCGACGCATAGCCTTTTAGATTATGCATAAATCAATATATAAACAACAAGATTACAATAAAATATAAAACCCTAAGCTATGCTATTACATTCACAGGACATAACATAATTGGATAATATAAAAAGAAATAAATATATATAAAATATGTTTAAGCAGATACTCTGACAAGTGACACTAGCAAAATCATACTAAAGAGATTAAGATAGCTCATCTTTACGAAAATTTTAATTATTTTTAGTAGGTACCAAGTATAATAACCCAAAAAAATATAATTGTAAAACAAACAAAAATAAAAAGGAAGAAGGATATAAACATTCTTAAAGATGTAATCCATTAATTAATTAAGTCATAAGCAAACCCATGGGCCAGGACAGGAGTGTTGAGAAGAGAAAGTCGGTCGGCTGTGGCTGATAGTTGTGGGACCATATTCTTTAGCTTAGTCGTTACAACGCATGCCTAACAATTTTAGTTAAATCACTTAACCTAACTATTTGTACACAGAACCAGTTAGTCCACTCACCAACCATACCTCATGAAAAAATCATAAGCAATTGATAAATGTGAAGTTAATTTAGGCTAGACTCTAACCCGAAAATTGAGAGGCATATAGTAACCATCATAGTAGATTTGAATTGCACTGCTTTGTTGATGATAGTCAAGGACTCGAGGCAAGTTAAAAAAAAAAAATGTAGAGAAGTGCAGATATAAATTAGCATACCTCGTGAGTAGGGCAGCCATAGTCTACAGGATCTCTTCCAGTAATTGCTTCTAAGAGCACAACCCCAAAGCTATGAACATCACTCTTTTCATTCAAAAGTCCAGTATTTGCATATTCAGGAGCCTCATATCTGTAAGATTTTATTTTGTCAAGGCAAAAGGAAGGGGTTGATTTCAAAGGTGATGATCCTCTTCCATCAATGAATAAGAGTAACAATGAAAGAACCAGTAAGAATACACTTTCAAAAAATACTTACCCAAAGGTACCCATAACTCGAGTCTTTACATCGCTTTTGCCAGCTCCGAGCAACTTGGCCAATCCAAAATCAGAAACCTTGGCAGTGCCTGTTCATCTGAAAAGAATTGGCAGTGATGAGTATTCTCCAGAAAACGGATTGAAAAGAAATAGCTTCTACATTTTCTTATTAAGCACAGATTAAAGCAACCCATCACAAGAAGTGAGTATCCGAGCATCAGCAAGCAGTGATGAAATTGGTGAATAATCCTTTAAAATTGAAGACTCAACCTCACCATTGAAGCATTGGTCGCAACAACATCAGAAGTTGCTTCATATAAATCTAAAATGGTGTAGTGTTGCTCAAACAAAAGAAAAAGATTGTGACGGTTTTTGCTCAATCTAATGAAGTGAGGGCATATCAAAGCAGACATAACTTGCAAACACAACGAAACCTTTATAGACTTAGCTGGTAATCTCGAGAGGACTTCCACAATCATATCATCTGGAAGATTTTCCATCAATTCTATCTTTTCTGCTTTCTTCTTTGATCTCTCCATTGACAGCTTACCTCACGGATCCGCTTCCAAACCTAGCCGACTCAGGCTTCCTTTTATTCTATTCTATTTAGAAATTTTACAATACACAAAGAGTACAGTAGTTACTCCATTAGCCCAAACCTTTTGGTACTCCTCCCGTGAGGTTCTGATGATGCATAGCTTGGTATTCGGATTCACATACTTGACTGCAAATAACCTAGATTTAGAAGAATGATGAGAGAAGATTTTATAGTGAAGCAGAGGGAAGTCTGCAACAGCAGCAAACTTGAACTGGCAAGTAATTACATACCTTGGAACGATCCAAGAGACGAGGCCAAACCACTCCCCCAAAGTTTACAAGAATGCTGTCTTTAACTGCTTTTGACAAATTGTATTTTTGTTATTTTAATAGGCTCATCCACACCAAGATCTCGATTTGGATCCAAGAAAATTTCCATTACCATGTACCTATTCTTAAATCCCACCATGATCCTTTACCATGTACCTATTATTAAATCCCACCATGATCCTTTACCTAGCTGCGAAAGACAGTTTCGCCAGGATATAGCAAATCAGCATAACGAATATTCTACATGGCATATGTTATATGAAATATGCACGAAACCAAACAACAAATTTCATCACTAGTAATTTAAGGTGCATAGGAAATGATTAATAAACATTGTACTTGAAACATTCTAAGCCCTGAAGAGGGGAAATTGCTAAATTAGGGGAGTTGTGAATGACCTAAATCAAGAATGGCTGGACAACAAAGTAAACAATTAGGCTCACAACCCTGAACCAATAAAATTAAAATAAAACAAGGCACCAAATTTTTGTCAATATGTAACATGCATTATCAATCAAATTAGGTGGATGGAGAGACTCCAAAGTCCAAACTGCAATAACAATATATAATGTAAAGTAAATAATCAACACTAAATTTAAAGAGAATTGCTAGCAACATAGTTGCATTCTGAGTCTTTAAGTTTTGTCTCTAACAAAATCGAAATTTCTAACAAGTAAAACTCAGATAGAAGGAAAAACAAGGTGTCTCACTAGGTTAGCACTTAATGATTGAGTGTTAAACAAATAACGATAATCTTGTGCTTGCCTGAGAAGAGTATCAAAATAAGGATGCTTCCACGTTTTCAGCTAAGTAGTTATCAACTATACATGTATGCACGCCACAGCAAATTACGTTCCATGTACAAGTAAAAAATTTCCCAAAAGTCCATTAAATTGAAAGGCAGCGAACTTAATTCACTAATGTTCTCAATATCTGAATATCAGTACAATGCCCACAGGATCAGACATTGAGCAAAATGTCAGCCGAACTCATCTCTGACTTAATATAAGCACTCCAGCAATCATCTTTTGCATTCTATAAATACAAATTTAACTTTGCCAAGACTGAAAGAAAGGTAGCAGAAAAAAAAAAATCACAAAATAACTATCTGTAGAACAATATAGAGAAAGAGGAACCCACCGATAAAGGAAGCTAAAAACTATTAAGCTACTCTTATTTGAGCTCAAATACCGGTTCACAAGCAAAAGAAAGGGTAAACCTAGCATATTGATTGGACTTTGTCGCTATCCGACGTCAAACGGGACTCCCAATTAATTAAAATTGTCGAGTCTCCTTTTCTTTTTTATTTCTTTTCTTACTGGAGTAATTCCAGTTCTAATTTGTTGTGTGCATTTATTTATTTATTTTTACAAAATTAAACCCAAATCCCTGCAACAGAAAAGTTATATACCTTCCCTCTTCTTCCCTTCCCTGCCTCCTGGTTCCCTTTTTTTTAGGTGATCGAAGAGGAGCAGGCACTGCTGAGCGTGCAGGACTGCTGCTGCCAGGCTTGAGGAGCTGGAGCAGGGGGTCTGAGCTGCGCGCGAGCTTGGGCTGGAGCTGGGGGAAGTTGCGGGTGTGGAGTCTGGGGAGCTGGAGGGTTGCTTAGGGACTGTGTAAGGGCTGGAGTTTGTAACGGGGTCTGTTGGTGAGGGTGGAGGCAGCTGGGGTTGAAGATGAAGGGGCTACGTTATGTTATGTTATTTTATTTTTTGGGTGCCTCCCGTAAAGGCTGGCGGATAATATTTATTTCCAAATGGATAATAATGATACTTTTCCTTTGGTGAGTTCTTTCTGATTGTATCTTCATATTGTGCCATTGGGTCAACTGTTTCTGGTGCTAGTAAGCTGAAATTTGTTGTGATTAAATGGACCAATCTTATGAATTCAATTTATTTTGAATAAATGTTGGAAAAAAAAATCTAATTTATTTTTTAGAGAAATTTCACAATAATATATATATATATATATATATATATATATATATATATATATATATATATATATATATATATATATATATATATCATACCTATAGCAATGATTTTGGGTGATATATACTAGGGAATATATATATATATATATGAAAGCTTCTATAGAAATTATAAAAATCTAGTGAGTCCCAATACAATTCTCTCTTTGTTTTTTATATTTATTGTTATCATCGTGTAGTAAGTTTTGATAATCATTCTTAGAGTAATATAAAATTTCTCATTCCTTATATTTAATATTTTAAAATGTTTTAATGATGGAATGACCACTATAATATTTAACTTTTTTTAGCTATCAAGAATTTTAATTGAATAGGCAATTGGAAATCCTTATTGTTCCTAATTTGATTGTGAGTTGTGCAAATCTAACAACCTATCCTTTTCAGAACAACAAAGTTCATCGTTATCGGATTTTTAATGGTAATAGCAACCTACATATAATGATTTTTAACGATAATCACGATTATTAAAAATTGTGAAATTCAATGCATCAAAAAATATGAAAGATATTAAGCAATGATATCAATTTATACCTGAAAAATGGTTTTAATATATCTCCAATCATTATATTTGATCTCCTTGAGTGAAAGAAAGACATGGTGAGAGATGCCGACCATACTCATTTCATCTATTTTGGTTTGGTGTGATTATATTTGCTGAATATGCTCTTTTATAAAGGTCAAGAATGGTGTTAGGTTAGGTTCACCCACCCACTATTGACGACCAAGATCACTCATCAATTTCAGTTTTTCCATTTTGGCATAGAAATTTAGTACGATTTGTTTGTAAATGACTAGATGAGTAACTATAAATCCTTACTCTATGAGTTCAAGAGATGGACAAATATAAAAAAAAAAAAATCACATTAGACTCATTGATATTCTTTTATGTATATTTTCATGCCATGCATATAAAAAAAATATATGCAAAGCCTAATGAGTATATATATATATATATATTCCTAATTAGAGTTTTGAAGTAGTTAACTATGAATCTAAGATCGGATGTTAATTCATAGATTTTGTTTTTTTGTAAATGTTGAATTTTATTACCAAGTTCTTAGTACTAAAAAAAAAAAAAAAAAAGAGAGAGAAACTGTTACATTTAGTTGCACAACTCACAATCTAATTAGGAACAATATAAGTCATACTTTGACCAACTTAAATAAAATTAGAAATTAAAACTTTTAGTACGTACCAAAAAACTAATAATTGTAAAACAAATAAAAATAAAAAAGAAGAAATCATAAGCAGAACAGTAGCGTTGAGAAGAGAGAGTCGGTCGGACGTCGCTTCAGTTAGTCAAAGTTGTGGGACCATATTCTTTTCGCTTCCTGCACGCCTCCCCTTTTCATCGCTCGATTACATCCACGTGTTTAGTTGCTAATACTTTCTGTTTCTGCTTTTACAGACATTCTTCGCTTCGCTTTCTTGTTTTATTTGGTCCAAAAGTAGTTCGTGACAACATTTTTGTTACGTGACGACATTTTGATCTAATTTTGGACAAAAAAAAAAAAAAGGGAAAGCGGTAGAGGCCAGAGGGAAGGCGAGGTTGAGGAGGTGGTAGGGTTGAGCTGATTAGCTACGCGTTGAACAATAGATTCGACGAATTCGGACTCATACCTGCGAGCAAACCCAAGAATTAAATTAGTAAAAATAATGTCTTTCTAATTCTATTCAATCAATTTCTGGGCAGCTACAGGTGTTTGAACAACACTGTTCATCATACCATTTTGCTAAGCAAGCTGCAGATCATAAAAAGCTCAAAGTTCCCCAGAAAACTAAGGAAGCTGGCTCTGGTAATATACGGATTAATGATACACACAAAACACATGGATGATGTTGTGGGCCGACTGAAGGTGTTCTATAGCTTGAAAATCTGTTTTGAGCAGTTGTTTAAGCTTCTTCCAGTTTTATGGCTGTACTTATTCAACTTAAGCAGCCCATGTACATGATGGATGAATCAATGTCTAATATCCAACAATGTCTAAGGTTGACGTATTTTAAATTGACAAGATTCTGGTCACCTTTCTAGATGATAGGTTAAATTCAACAAGATTCTTTGAACAAAATATGGAAGGCAAAGATCTCGAAGGTCAAAGGGTTATCCATCGCAACGCAGATACCTCGTCTCCTAAGAAAGGGACTTAAGACCATGATGAGGAACGCGCACTTTACTGGAGTATTTCCAACTCCAGAATCATAAATTTTGAGCTTAACCTAATATCTCTACTAATTTTTGAAACATCCAAGAATATCCCTTCAATGTCTTAGCTTCTCTAATACTTGCATGATTCTTTCATGCTGGTCAAACTCTTTTCCCTACGATATATAGTTTGTTGGGAAATATCACCGATTTCTACTATAGGGAATTCAAGGGTTCTGAAACTCTGGTAGAGATCGGCCGGACATAATAGTATGTACAAGTTGCTTGTTGCGAGAGGAGCTTACTATCCTTGGTATTTTTTCACAAAATACCTTTTCTTTTTAAACAAGATGTTTTTAAGAGTGAAAGTCAATGTTTGAAAGAACATTAATTAAAAATATGAAAGATATTAAGCAATGATATCGATTTATATCTGAAAAATGGTTTTAATATATCTCCAATCTGATTAAAAAAAAAGTGAAATATTTCCTCTCTTCCTTTGTCATCATCATCTTCTCCTTCATTGTATTTGATCTCCTTGAGCGAAAGAAAGACATGCTGAGAGATGCCAACCATACTCATTTCATCTATTTTGGTTTGGTGTGCTTATATTTGTTGAATATGCTCTTTTATATAGATCAAGAATGGTGTTAGGTTAGGTTCACCCACCCATTATTGACGACCAAGATCACTCATCAATTTCAGTTTTTCCATTTTGGCATAGAAATTTAGTATGATTTGTTTGTAAATGACTAGATGAGTAACTATAAATCCTTACTCTATGAGTTCAAGAGATGGACAAATATAAAGAAGAGAAAAAAAAATCACATTACACTCATAAAACATAAAAATAGTATTTCTACCTAGACTTAAAAAAAATCTCACCCATTTCTCTCTCATCTTTTTTTTTTTTTTGGAAAGTATGATTAGTTATTTTTTGAGTATATATAATTAGTTTCTCACTATATCTAGCATTTTCTTTAAAATTTTCAGCTAAAAGAAAAACCCATAAATGCTTAATGTTTAAAAAAAAATTAATGTATTAATAACAAAGTAAGTTGGAAATTTCTAGAAAGATATATATTATATATTCTTGATACTTGATTTATTTATTTATATGTGAAGGCAACATACAAATTAATACTTGATTTTTTGAATAACACACAATCTAATTAGGAACAATAAGGTTCAATAATTGACTTTTTAATTTTTTGAATAATAAAAAAATATATAATTAAGGTCATACTGTATAATTTTTTTTAAAATATTGAATCCAAAGATTGAAAAAATTTATATTAGTCTAAGAATAATTATTAATACTTAATACATGAAGAGATTGATAGACATAAAAAATAGAGAGAAAATTGCATTATGACTCAATAGATTTTTATAATTTTCATGGAGGCATCTCTTTTCTCATGGGCTAAATATTAGTGAAATTCAAATATATATATATTCAAATATATATATTCAACTTATTTTGTTATTAATACATTATTTTATTTTGTTACATAAGGCATATATGGAAGTTTTTTTATGGATGAAATTCTTTACAAAAATGCTAGAAATTCTCCATATTTCATAAGTAACTAACAATTAATACTTACATCATAGGAGACGGATAGATATAAAGAAAAAAAGAGAAAAAGAACAACCGAACCTAGATGGAAATATTTTTATTACATTTAACGGGTCTAGATATATGTGTGTGTGTATATATATACACACTACAAATAAGCTCGTAAAATAAGTATTGATAATTACTCGTTGAGCCACATTCAAATAAATCATACTAAAATTTTTTGCAAAAATGGAAAAACTAAATTGATGAGAATGATCTTGGTTGTCAATAATGGGCAGGTGAACCTAACCTAACACCATTCCTGGCCTATATAAAGGGAGCATATTCAGCAAATAGGAACTCACCAATCCAAAGTTGATGAAATGAGTATGGCTGCCATCTTTCACCTTGTCTTTCTCTCCCACAAAGTGATCAAAGACGGTGAAAGGGAAAATGATGATGATGACAAGGAAGAGAGGAAATATTTCCAGTCTCTTTCATCAGGTTGGCGATGTACCAAAACCAATTTTCAGGTATAGATTCATGCTTAATATATTTCATATTTTTAATATCCTTTCAGACATTGATTTCACTCTTAAAATGATTAATTCTAAACTTTATATTTGTTTCTTGTAGTGAGGGTTCGCCTTCAAGTTTCCTTATTTAAGCAGCATCTATCAAGATTCTTTTGAGCATCATAGTTATTCATTTTTGTTTCCTAAACATAACCTGCTAGGTTGTAATTTTGGGAAGGAACAGATGGATTCACTTGAGTGACTGGATGGGACAACAGGAACTAGACCTTGAACTGCTTACAGATGCAACTGCATAATGGTTCATGTCTTAATCCCAGCTGTAACTCATCCTTTGATCCTCAAGTAAATTACACTTATCGAAGGCCAAAAATCCATGACCAAAGATCGATGTGGAAAGCAATACTGTACGTAGCTGATAATAATGAAGGTGTTTCCGTATAAGATGATAGACCTAAATGTCCATAAGTCTAAGCATGTTGAAGATGATGTTTGGGGTTAATATAAATCTTGTACCCTTTGATTGTAATCGAAAGAGAAATTCTGATACCAAATATGATTTTGTAAGGAAAGTTTAGTAATTTCAAGCTGAGAAAAGATTGCTTGTTGAGCTCAAACAACATTAAAAACAGTAGATCTATACGTACATAAAGTTTACTGTGTATGAAGGTAAAACAAAGATAAGAGAGATAATCATTCCTCGTAATATTGTCAAACATTGTCTGAGACCAAATTTTTGGTATAAAATAATGAGGAAGAGAAGTGGAAGTACTACAATCCTATCAAACAATCAAATGTGAATCAAATGATAGAAACTGAAAAAACAAGAAGCCACCGGTAGCTCTCCTTGTAACTGATAAGTGAGTTTGTTTCCTATTATTCTCTCCACGATTCAAATCAATCTTCACCTTCCATTTGTCCCATCCAATGTAATCTAACTTCTCTTTTGTGATCTGATCTAGACAGGCGACCATCTCAGGTGTTAGATGATTCTCCCAGTTTGCAACTTCACCTTTCCCGAAGAAGTAAGGGTTTTTTGACAAAGTATTTATTGAATATGATACTTTTGTTCGCTTTTAAAGTGCTTAAATTTTTGAAATTGCATTTTCTTACCTCTAAAGTCTTCTTAATTGGAGATTCAAAGTAGTTAACTATGAATATAAATATAAGATAAGATCTTAGATTCGTTTTTAGTGTATTGAATTATCATTAAAAATTATTATAAATAGATTGTTATTACCGTTAAAAATCCCATAATTGATGAATTTATTATCATAAATCTGATAATCGATGAATTTATTTTTGGTGTATTGAATTATCATTAAACAATGTTATAAATAAATTGTTATTACCCGTTAAAAATTCGATAATCGATGAATTTATTATTACAAATTCAATAATCGATGAATTTATTATCAAAAATTATTAAAAAAAATAAAAGAAGTGCAAGTACACTATTCATTCCATGCAGCTTAAGGTTCATCTCCCCTATTCAAGCATTTTTTTCTTTTTTGCTTTTTGGTCCCTCTTTCTTTGAGAGACAAATTAATTAGTCCCTTTATAATTTACTATATACAATGCACCCTTAGAGCTTTTTCTTTTTTCTTTTTCCTTTCAGAGGGTCTGAGCCAGGCTTCCCTCACCCAGGCAAGCTTGCTAGGCTCCAACTTTTTTTAATATATATATATAATGAAAAAAAATTATTTTCTTTGAGCTAGGCATTGTTCATTTACTGTAGCAGTGGCTAGCTTTATTTTTTTCGTCTGGCCTCCTTTTTTTTTTTTTTTTCTTTTTTGAAGGGTTGGGTTGCTAGAACTTCACTGTATAATTTCTTTTTTTTTTTTTATGATTTTTAGTTTCTATATGTTACGAGATAGCAATTGTTTCCCTCCCATATAAATAATTTATATTTTTTTATCATGAAATTAGGTGTGAAAATATAAAAAAAAAAATTTATTTTACATACGAGTTTGGCAATAATAGAATATATATAATATTTTTTAAAATTTTAATTTGAACATATATATCTTATTATATTAATTATTTTATTATTTAAAATTTATTTCTTCAATTGTTTGTTTCTTATTAAAATTCTCATCGAATTAATTTTTAAATTTTGTTTAATTTTATTTGTTAATAAATTTGATTTTTATATATATGGATTTTGAAATAAAATTTTAGAACGTGATTTTTTTATTTTTTAAAATATATTATTATAATTTATACGATTGATTATTTTTATGATTTTTCAATGAAAATGGCGTTGTTGTATATATAAATTCTTATGAGAGAGAGGGAGAGAGCTAAAAGTGTGTTTTTAGATAATTTGACTTAATTTTTTTTAAAAAAAGAATAATTAGTTAAAAAAATTTACACATTTTATGGGTTATATATATATAGTTTTGTTAGAAATTAATTATATATGCACCTATAATATCAATTATTTGTTATTTATCTTTTTCATGTTCTAAAATCTGTATTTTTAAATAAAATAATTTAATTAATTTTTTAAAAGAACCTCTTAATTATTCAAATATAAATTTTTATACTAATATTATAAATTATTTTTTTAATAAATATATATAAATCGAACAAGTTAATTAAATATATATTTAATTCATAATAATCTTTATAAATAAAATATTAACTCATATCATATCACATAAATTGCTAAATCTATATATATAATGGTTTTTTTATCGCGACATGGGTATCTAACTGGTCCATGACTAAAGTTGGTGATGTGGAAAGCAATTTTGAATACGTATAAGCGATCGAGCGGTATACACTTCTTCACATTTCCTCCGAAACCAAGCACAATTCATTTCTCTCTCCTTAGTGTAAGGTCCGTTCTACTTTTCTTTTTTCCTCCTATGGCGGCTAGCTCCTTTCCCTCTCAACTAAACGAGGGAGACCAAGAAAGCCAAGGCTACCAAACGACCTATAAAAGATGCAATGACATAATCCCAACGCTTCCCAAAGCTACTTGTAACGCCCCTACCCCGATCATATTTCTACTACCCAAGTAGGTACTTGGACGAAACGCGTTATGCTTGACATACCCTAAACTCTAAGTAGTTTTGTTATGATATTTTTAGAACTTTAACGAGTACATTGCGTATATAACTCATTAAGATAAAATTTACATAACATAATTAAATACATTAATAAAATATTACGAGCAATATTCAATTTCTCACGAACTTCATACCCCAAATTTACAAACAAAATAAAAACTAATAGATGATGCCTCACATGAGCCGATTAGGAGGAGCCGACCACATCCGTACCAACTTGTCCTCTTCTCGTCAAGACATAAAAAAAAATAACAACGGGGTGAGCCAAAGCTCGGTAAACGGGGTGATGCACGTGATATGCAATGTTGTTTTGACTTCCCACCATACTCATAAATTTTAATCTCGGGTACCACGGGTATTAGCCGATCTACTCTATTTATCATCCGGGTGGTTCGCATATCACCTTCTGCTACAACGGAATTATCCCTCATTGTAACTACTGTTAGCGGGAATCCATCGTCTAACAGGTGCAAGCACACGACTTGATTTCATCCGGATGATCCTCAAATCATCTTCTGCTATAACGGAATTATCCCTCGTTGTAACTACTATTAGCGAAAATCCATCGTCTAATAGTGCGAGCACACTGACCTATAGTACTTGGACTACTAATACCCATTTATTCCGGTTAAGTTATCAAACCTAGATGTATAAACCATTTATCAATCAATTGACTTGTCTTAAACCACCCACTATGCACATGATGCATGTGATGACATATTTAATTACATTCAATCAAATTCGGGTACCAACCTTTCATTCTCATGCCATACTCACGATCCAACCCACACTCGAAATTTATCCATTGCTCACATACCAATCATGATACCCACAGCGGAAACACAATCTCCGCTCATTAATATTGTTCATTAGTTTCATTAATATTTAAAAGAATGTCCAAGTCCATTTACTTTAATCCGAGCCCATTAACTTTATCCTAGGTCCATTGAATCTATTTAATTCCATTTTATTTAGTCCAAGCTCATTTAGTTTATTCCAAACCTATTAATTTTGTCTAAGTCTAATTTTTTTGGTTTTAGGGTTTACTACCGGGCAACTCCTAATCGAGTAAATAATTTTTTGATTTCAGAACATAATTAAATCTTACTCGTTTTATTTTAGATATTAGACATATTTATTTATAACATATCCAAAAAATAGGTCTAAATACCAAGTACACAATTAATTATAAATTTTTGAAACTTAGGGAGCAATCTGCCTAATAGTAGTTTGTCTAGAGCTATCCATACTAAATCGAGTATAACTCTTTGTACACAAATCCAATGACCAAGAAATTTTAAAAGAAGTTAGTTGAAACATAGATGAACAACTTTTATGCTTTAATTTTCACCTAAAAATCGATCTAAAATCCTTGAACATACACCCCAAAATTCGGACAAAATTTACTCCTTATCAACATTAATTTATTAGTTCATTCCAGGCCAACTTTAAACATGTTTTAGTTCACTTAAATTTAGTCCAAGTTCAATCCAACCCATCACCACATACTTGGACATTTTTCAAAACATCATAACATCATAAATCATCACAACAAGGCATCCATACTTAGATTTATCCCAAGCATCAAGCATATAACCATTGAAAATTATTACAACCCATGAAATAAATACTAACAAAATAACTTTAAAAAATAATTTAAGACATTAATCAGCCAAAAAAATGAAACCTACTTACCTCTTTTAGGTTTGATTAGAATTTCCTTAGCTCTTTTTCTTTCCTTTTTCCCTTTCTTTTTCTCTTTTCTTTCTTTCTTTCTTTTTACTTGTTTTTCTCTCTTCAATTTGGCTTCTCTTTTAATTCGGATGGGCTACGGTTTTTGGCCTAAAAATGACAGCCATTTAACCCTCTCTTTCCCTTATATACCCACCTTTTATCCTCTCATTTATTTATATCATAAGTGTTAAAATTTAACTAGGCCAAACGTAAAGTGGAGGAAGCTTGGAAGGCAAAGCTGGCATGTTTTGGAAGTCAAAGGTGATGATTTGGCTTCCAAGCATTTAATTCAAGTGCTTAGGTGGCTAAAGAAAACTTAGGCTAAATAAATACATTAATAAGCTGGGTTCATGTAATTAGACATAATTTCTTTCATAAAAAATTCGAAAATTTTCATTTTTAAAATTCAGAATTTCTTTTTCTCCAAAATTTCAGCCGTGTTACCTCCTAACCTATCTATACTAAAATGTGCATAACTCTTTCTATATGTATCCAAAAATTATGAAATTTTATAGAAAGCTAGTACACACATAGAAAAAAAACTTTTATTCTTTAAGTTTTGCTCAATACTCAATCTAACGAGTATCAAATAAATCTCACAAGATTCGGGCAGATTCTTCTCCCAAAATTCTAATAGAATGCATTTCGAAACAACCCTCACTATAATTGGTATAACTCTTAATGTATAAGTCCAAATATTATAAAGTTTTATACAAGCCTATTCAACAAATAGATTAACAACTTTCATTCTTTAAGGTTTACCCAAAAATTACCCTAAATTCCTCAAATAATTCACACAAAACTTGGGCGAATATAGTCCTTAAAACACCGATTTTGCATATTTGATTTCTTTAATAATTAAACCATTAATCTTAAGCACAATAACTTTAATTTAATATAAATCAAATATTTCAAGCATTAATTTCTCATGATGAAATGAGAATTATACTTACTCTTAATATACATATATATAGAATTATTCTAATACGCGTTGCGTTACGGATAAGGGTTTTTACGGGGGTTTCACTACTTGGTTGGTGGTTGAGCAATCTTTGCAAGTACCAAGGGGTTTGGCTGCCATGGAGGCATGCCATAGAAGGGCTAATGTTGATCCAAGACCACTTCATGTCTAAACCTACAGATATTATCTTGGCAACATCTCCCAAATGTGGTACTATATGGCTTAGAGCCCTCATCTCTGCCACCATAAACCGAACATCCTATGATTTTGCAACACACCCTTTGCTCACCAATAATCCCCAAGCTTTGGTTCCCTTCTTAGAAGGCCACATCTGATGTAATGATTCCACTTCTTTGCTTGAGTCTCTTTCGTCGCCGCGCTTTCTCTCTACTCACATCCCTTACTCTTTGTTTCTGGATTCAATGAAGACATCCGGTCCCAAGTTTGTCTATGTTTGCCGCAACCCGAAAGATATTTTTGTTTCTAAATGGAAGTTTATGGAGAAGATGAGGCCTAAAGAAATGCCACCTCTTTCACTGCAAGATGCATTCGAATTGTTTTGCAATGGAGTCTCACACTACGAACCCTTTTGGTATCACGTTCTCAATTTTTGGAAAGCTAGCTTAGAAACCCCAAAAACGGTATTGTTTCTGATATATGAGGACATGAAAAGAGAGCTTTTGGTAAAGAGATTGGGTGAGTTTCTAGGCAAGCCTTTTTCACCTGGGGAAGAGAGGGAAGGTGTGGTACAAGAAATTGTAAGACTCTGTAGTTTCAAAAATATGAGCACTTTGGAAGTGAACAAAAGTATTATCTCCAATGAATCCTTCGTCGAAAACCCTTACTTTTTCAGAAAAGGTGAAGTTGGAGACTGGGAGAATCATCTTACCCCTGAGATGGTTGCTCGCCTTGATCAGATCACAAAAGAGAAGTTAGATGGCGTTGTATGTAACAAGTGGAAGGTGGGGATTGATTTAAGTCGTGAAGAGAATGATGGGGAACAAATCTACTGATCAATTACAGGGAAAGCTAACGGTGGCTCCTTGATTTTACCAACCCCACAATCAGAAGAAGAGAATATGAAGACCAAATCTTAGAGAAATGGTGTTTAATTTAGATTTAATTGTTTTGGGTTTGTTTTTTCTGTTTCTGTCATTTGATTCACATTTGATTGTTAGGCAATATGCCAATATTGCAACAGTATTGCTACTTCTTCTTATTATTATTTTATACCAAACATTTGATATCAGACAATAATATAATAACACAACCTCCTCATCAATCTTGCTTATGGTCCTACAACTTTGATGAATTACAGCGATAGCCCACCGACTTTCTCTTCTCAAACTTGTTGTCCTGGCCCATGGTTTGCTTATGTCTTTTTCTTCTTTTTTATTATTATTATTATTATTATTTTCCTTTTAAACAACAACTTAGCTGCATTAATCCAATAATTCTCGTCTAAATTACCCAGTTCCTGTAATGGCTTTGGATTCTATTTCTTCCTTATTTTTTTCTTCTCGGTGTCTTTTCTTCTTCATTTTTAGGTCACTAATGTTTTGTTTCAGGGGTTGGATGATGTCAAGTGGTGCTTCATGGAGAGAAGGAATGAGAGAGAAGGGAAAGGGGTTAGAAGAGGAATGTTTTGTTCTTCTAGGTGATGGATGGGTAATGGGGCCTGGCCTTAGTGGTTATCGAAGAGGACAAGAAGGTGAATTGATGCTGTTTTCTTTTATTCTCTTCTTATTCTTTTTTTTTTTTAATATGTAATTGACAGATTTGTACTGGTTTGTGCTTTTTTGTTTATTTTTTAACGTGTTTTTTTCAAAAAAATATGAAAATTACTTCCTCTAACTCTCTAATTTTTATATTTTTAATTTTTTCTCCTCAATCACCACGGTAAAATTATGTTTAGACTTATCTTAACATCCTACTAAACATAAAAACTAATTAAAATCAAACTCACTAAATAATAAACTTATTGTATGTAGTTTAAAACTTCTCAGGACAAAAAAACAATCATCAATAAATTTTTATTAACAAAAAGTAATATAAAAACGTAAAAAGTTGTAAGTGTGATCTACCATTTAGTAATATATCAAACTAATCATACCAGAAACATTCTAAACAAAAGAACTAATTATAAAGAAATCAATTTATTAAGGATAACTAATTAAATTGTGTAAGTAAAAATAATTTATGCTTTCATTTGAGTTATAAATATTTTTATATATATACGATTTCATGAAGTTGAGACAACGTACATTCATTAGAGGAGTTTGTATCAATTCTGGGCCTAAGCTCAAGGGAGTGGATTTAGCCCAACGTTAGTATCATCGTCAACTCATCATCCTAGTTCCAGTTGTAGAATCAAAGTCTTGCATGCGTCCATCACTCCGAGCCTTCATTTCTTCTATGGGTGAAAAAAAGAAGGAGAGCGGTGGAGGGAAGGTGAGATTGAGGAGGTTGTGTTGAGTTGATTAACGATGTGTTCAGCAATAGATTCAACGAATTTGGATTCATAGCTGCAAACATACAACCCCAAATAACTAATTACTAAAAACAATATAATTATCTAATTTTATTCAATCGATTTCTGGACACAGGGAGGTGATTGAAGAAGGAAGATCAAACTGTTCATCAACCCAATTTTACTAAGGAAACTGCAAATCATAAATACCTCAAAGTTGCCAAAAACAAATTAAGGAAATTGGCTTTGGTAATATGCAGATCAATGATAATTTTTAAGAGTATAAATTTAATGCTTATATAAGTACTCAATGGCACCGAATAAAATTAAAGATACTCTGTAGCTTGGAAGTTTATTTTCAGCTGTTGTTTCAGCTTGCTCCAGTTTGATGGCAAAATACTAGAATATTTTTACTTAAGTAAATCATTCATTTCTATGGGTAATACGCCCTCTCACTTTTACTTATTTTTTCTATAATACTTGATTAACTTTTTATTTTTATACACATAACTTTATGGCTAAAAGATCATATCTGTACAAGTGTAAGGATGATTTTAGTGAAATATAAGGACAAGTATATCATAAAACTAAAAGAGTTAAAAAGATATTTAGAAAAACTTTTAACTAATTTTTGAATGTTATCAGTGCTAGATGGTCTTTAAGACTATGGATTAAAGACCTTGCACTTGTACTTAGGCTTTGGACTTGAGGCAAATCAAGTTTAATTTCTAACAATAACTACATGTGTAGGTCAATACAGTCCATACATAGAAGATGTTGGTGACGATGTGGGTGGTTAAATTAAAAGCACTCTATAACTTGAAAAGTTTGTTTTGAGCTGTTGTTTCATCCTGTTCCAATTGTATGGCTGTCCTTGTAAAAGTTACTTAAGTTTTGGTTTGATTTGAAGTAAAGTTTGTGTTTTTCTATTTGGAAAATTAGATTTTGGATTGGTAATGTTGAATTTAGATTCTTTTAGCTTTTTTGAAGTAAAATTCTTGATGGGTTTTTTTCTGTAGTCATTGCTTGATCTAGAAAGATGGTTGTCTATGCTTCTCTAGGGAGAAGAATAGCTCTGTTGATCCTCTACGTATATAAGAGGGTCTTGCTTAGTTTGATCTTTGTTTTAGGTTTTAACATGATTTGGTCTAAACTCTAATTGGGCTTGAGTGATTGGATCTTCTTAGTCTTGATATGGTTTGATTCGAAGAAAATTGGCAACGTTATGCGTACTTTGACTTGCTAATGTTTAAAGATATTGAATTTTGGATGTGATTATGTGCTCTACAGGTAAAAGAATGGCCTCCTATATATAACGCTACTTGTTGGACTAAATGAAAGGCATATGAATCAAACCCAAAGTTAAAAAAAGGCATTCTTCCACCAAAGAAGCAGGAGAAGTAGAAAACCAAGAAACCCCATCACTGATTGGAACATAGACGGATATGATCCAAAAAACTCTTCTCAATTAGAATGATTTCTAGAGCATAAGAACATTACATAAACAAATAAAAAATAGGGAAAAAAAAAAGCAAAAAAAATAAGAAGATTCTTGGGTTTCATAACTGCTGCCAAGAACAATCAAAATTAATGATTATAGGCCATGTCGCGATTTTACTCTTGGGCCTCATCACCTCCAACCTAAATTTAGGGTAGTCATCCCTTCCAAAGTGATCATCAACTATTAGTTGTCTTAGAATAATTGCACCATCTATCCTAATAATGAATTATATAAAATCAGAAGATGGAGCACCAAATTGCTAATTATTATTCGCTCATAACTCATAAGCCACAAGCATGAAACTTGCAGAATTCAAATCCTTCTACTCCCAACAGTAAAGCAATTGATTACCTTAACTATTACTGTTTTTTGGTCTAATGGATAGTTGTAATTCGAGTTTTGGAAGGTATTTTTGATAAGGTTTATGCCAACTTGCCTTGGTTTTAGGTAAAAGTTTGATCCAATAAGATTGGATGATGTCTATTATACGACCTAATGGATGAAATAGCCATTGGTGCTCCTACTATAACTTGGATTCATTTCTCGAGTTTTTCTTTCATAACAAGGTAGTTTTAAATCTTATTTCTTGCAATAGGGTAATTTTAAACTTATTTTTCATAATAAGGTATTTTGTGCCAAATAAAAGTCATTTCATTGTAATAGATTGACATGTCAACTTTAATTTATTTTTGTTAAAAAATTACGTTACGTTATCATCCTAAATTACTCTTTCCTTGTATTATTTTCTCTCTGTATCAACACATGCATGGCTTATGCTTTCTGTGCCTTCATTAGCTACCCCTCTACAAGTTGCATTTTTGGCTAAAAAACAGTCTCTCTCTCTCTCTCCCCATTGCATTACATAAATTGCGTTATACCTTATTCTACCTAAGAACAACTTTAAATAGAAAAAAGAAAACACAACCACACCATTTGTTTGATTAAATTTGCAGAAAAGAACAAAACATTCATAAGATGTGTATGAACTTGCTAGTAAGAATGAATATTTCTAATGAGAATTAAAAAAATATTCATTCTTATTGGAATCCATTAAAAAAATGAATGCTAGAACCCATTAGAAATATTCATTCTTACTGGCAATTAATGCTGGAACCCATTAAAAAATGAATGCGTCTCTTTCTCGTCCTTATTTTTCCCTGTTTGATTTATATACATAAAATAAATGTTGGAAACCTATTAGAAATATTCATTCTTACGGGCAATTAAAAAGTGAAAGCATGGGAACAGGAATGATTGGTCTTTTCCATTGTGAAGTGCTTGCAGCGCTGGAAAATGGCTTGTCTTCTGCCATATTAACGCCAATCTTGCAACATTCTTAAAACTACTCTACTCCACCCATGAGGGTGTAACTATAATGGAAATATTCTCTATATTCTTCATCCTTAAGGGTGAGTAGATTGTAAATTATTTCATACCATCTTGGGTTGAATTCGAAGGAGAGGTCGTAAATAAAGTTCTACTGTTTGGTTTAATTATTCCTTAGCTAATAAGAAATGGCTTATATGTATGTCCTTGTTGTCAGAATAATCAAGGCGATTATGTAATAAATTAATGCAAAATAACATATGCACAGATACCATGCTGGACAGCTATGAAAGAAAGCTTTCCACTCAATGGGGCGTATTTTCAAGTTAATGTGGTGAGTACATTCAAAGAAAAAAAGGAAAGAGAGAGTTCCAGTTGCAGGTATTTGCTGATCACAAATCTAGTCATGTTCGTAGAGAATTGCTATGGAACCTATCAAAGAGTACTTCATATGTGGGGACATCAACATCGTCAATATTTAGAGGTAAATAACTATTCTCCAAAATAAGAAATAGCATACATTGATCACACAACTGTCAGATTGACATTTGGTTTTACAATAGGTTTGTCATTACATGAGATTCACCAAAATTTTTAGACAGGTATGGATTGATCATGTCGCAAATCATTGACAAAAATAGGCATCCCAGTAAAAATATTGCTAGATTTATGCTTTTTTATTTTTTATTTTTTTCCTGTTCATGTGTTATTTGTGTGAGAACATTCGAACGAGGAACAAGTGCTCCAAAACCTCTTGTAAACAGATTCCTCTTTTCACTAAGCAAAATGGAGAAGAAAGGAAGCAAAAAAAAAACAAGTGTTGTAAGAGATGATGCTAAAGCCATCATGCTAAAAGATGCCTCGTAGTGTGAACCATTAATTTGTGTTAGTTCTCTGAGTCTAATTCTTGAACATGATCTGTTTGTGCAACATAGGTTGCATTCGTTACTCATGCTATTCCGAAGTCTGTATTATTCTGTAAATAAAAAATAATCCATAACTTCTGATCAATTTATTGGTGCTTCTAGCTTAAGAATGGTTTCAAGCTTTCAGCCACCCTGATGCCTCCATACTGCCATGTACCTTCCCGGAAACTAAGATACAATACAAAGATAATAAACATCACGATGTGCATACAAAGATGATGCATCATTTACTGCTTCTGAAAGACAAGCAGTGGCAACCATCTCATCAGACAATTTCATGGCAAAACCAGCCTTCCTCGTTTGTCATAGCAGCATCTTTGCTTCTTTGAACATCTCTCTACTATAATATGCTATTAAGAGTGCCATATGTGAGGTAAATCCTAAGGAAACCCCAGCTACATCCATGTCGCCCAAGATATCTTGAGCCATTTTCCAGCCAACCTAAGAGAATGCAAGCATCAATCACATCAGAACATAAGTTGGACTTACCGAGTGCATGAAAGTCCTATTGAATGCAAAGCAAAGGCCTTGAAAGCTCAGTAGTTCTCTCATGTCTTCTGTATCCATTGACAAACTTTGCTAGGGCTCTGTTACTAAGAAGAAGTTTTCCACTTCTAAATATTACAAACTTGTTTACGTTTCACTCTGAGGATAGAATCCTTCTGCAGCAGTTCTGGCATAACTTGTATTTTCAAGCCAGTCTTGAGATTGTTTGATCCAATTGGAAAAATGAGTGGCTTTTCTTGGTCCATCCTTGATTTTTTACCAGGAACAGACTCTTGGAATTTATGCATATCTAACACGAGCTCTGTAGCAGAGTCGAGATCATCAAACTTAAAGTGCAATTTCAACAAACTATCATAAAACTGCCAATAATAATCAAGAAACGGTGCACACACTCTATCAACATGATCCTTCAATTTCCTGATCTCATCCCTTTGGCACGTTTGAAGAGAAAATCATCTTAAAGTACAAACCCTAAAAATTAAGAATGTACAATATGTAAATTAAATAAATATATATCAAAATTAAATAAATAAAAACAACAGAATTTAGAAAAGTACCTTAATTGACAATATACATATGCTAAAGAATTTTTCTAGTAATTGTGGTTTTGAATTATGAGAGTATTTGAACTTTAAAAAATTAGGAACAAAGATGACACAAGAAAGATAAAGAGCGAAAGTTAATTTTTTCTTTTATGTTTCTAATTTTTTTAAATTATTATATTAAATATATATTATAATACTTAATTAAAAAGATGACATGGCAAAACTACCCATTTTTTTATAAATAAGATTTAAAATACCTTATTTTAAAAAAATATATTAAAAAGTATCATATTTAGGGAAAAAAACAACTCTTCATTTCTGCCATGTTCACTTGTGTGGCCCAAATTTGATATGTTTGGTCCATTCTCTTAAGACATTTTGGTTAAAAAGACATAATAGTGTAAAAATAAAAATATGTTATAAAAAAATTAAAATAATAAGAGAATTGAAGAGAAAAATGATGAAGAAATGATTTCACTATAAAGAGAATATAAGAGATAACAACTCTAAACAATTCTCATAATCTCTACAAAATGTTTATAAATTAACTAATGAACAATTAAGACTATTTATAGACTTCGATTTAAGAAGAGAATTAGAAGGGACTATGAATAATCAATTGCATCATTTTTTCAATTTCTCATATTAATGATGAATTGAATCATATTAAGAATCATAAATTGTGAGGATATGAAAAGTAGATGAACACGATGACATATATTCATTATTTCATAATAGTTTTAAATCTTTTCGGCCTTAATAATTTAGCAATTGATTACTTTATTTTATTTATTTATTATAAAAATAGATCATTATGTATTAAATTTTAATTTTTTCTATTCGAATGTTTTAAATTTTAATTTTTCTATTTCAATATGTAAATTTTTAATTTTTTTCTAATCAAGTTTTTTTTAATTAAATTCATACTAACACGGCTGCTAAATTGACTCATCACAACATTGATATGTTCGTTGTGTGAGCGCATATATATATATATATCACTTCATTATTAATAGATACGAGTATCTGTATTTTTTTTATTGGAGTGTTTGTATTTTTAAAAACTTAACGATAATTTCTATTAATTTTAAATTCAAAAAATATCTACTTTGCAAATTTATATAAGTCATATTTTGACCAACTTAAATAAAATTAGAAATTAAAACAACAAACAATAATAACCATATATTCAATTTACAAGAAAATAAGAATAAAATATGACTAGTTGAAATTAATTATAAAAAAAAAAAAGGTCAGATCACTCGTCTGATTGCTCATCTTTACGACAATTTTAATTATTTTTAGTACGTACCAAGCATAATAATCCAAAAAAAAAATAATTGTAAAACAAATAAAAATAAAAAAGAAGAAATCATAAGCAGAACAGTAGCGTTGACAAGAGAGACGTCGCTTCAGTTAGTCAAAGTTGTGGGACCATATTCTTTTCGCTTCCTGCACGCCTGCCCTTTTCATCGCTCGATTATATCCACGTGTTTAGTTGCTAATACTTTCTGTTTCTGCTCTTACAGACATTCTTCGCTTTCTTTCTTATTTTATTTGGTCCAAAAGTAGTTCGCGAATCTGATCCTCAATGAGTATCAGATTCGCGAACTACTTTTGGATAAAAAAAAAGGGAAAGCGGTAGAGGCCAGAGGGAAGGCGAGATTGAGGAGGTCGTAGGGTTGAGCGGATTAGCTACGCGTTGAACAATAGATTCAACGAATTTGGACTCATACCTGCAAGCAAACCCAAAAATTAAATTGGTAAAAACAATATCTTTCTAATTCTATTCAATCAATTTCTGGGCAGCTACAGGTGTTTGAACAACACTGTTCATCATACCATTTTGCTAAGGAAGCTGCAGATCATAAAAAGCTCAAAGTTCCCCAGAAAACTAAGGAAGCTGGCTCTGGCAATATACGGATTAATGATACACACAAAACACATGGATGATGTTGTGGGGCGACTGAAGGTGTTCTATAGCTTGAAAATCTGTTTTGAGCAGTTGTTTAAGCTTCTTCCAGTTTTATTTATGGCTGTACTTATTCAACTTAAGCAGCCCATGTACATGATGGATGAATCAATGTCTAACATCCAGACTATACCATGATTTCTAGACTTTGGTGCTTTACAAGACAGCAATGTTAAAATGTAAAACTCAATCAATTGAATGCAGACTCGTAAGTAAAGGTTATAGAAAATTCTAATTATTTAAATACATTTCATTTTTTTTTTTTTTTTTAATTCTCACAAGTAACATCATATTATCTTAAAAGCAAGGAACTTTTATTTCTAACCCCAGAATTACAAAGTCTGAGCAATCTAAGTTTGCAGCTATCAAGCACCTCGAAGACTAGCATATATACATAGCCAGAGGGATAAAAACAGTAAAACACTGTAAATGATCTACATTCAGTAGAATCGTTTTTTGCTTACCGAAAAGGATAAAGTGTTTCAATAACTAAGAAGTTAAAGAAGCTTACTATAACCACAAATAAGCAAGATCAATCTCTCACGGTTTCTAGCCTTTGAAAGGTCCGGTATTGAAGTTAGGTACTCAAAATTTCTAAGGTTGACGTATTTTAAATTGACAAATAAGCAATCACGGTTAAAGGTATTGAGCAATCTCCTAAAGCATGGTTTGAACAATTTAGTGAGTTTTAGTGACTTTTCTTTTTCTTTCCCTTTTTCAGACTCTGCATACAAGAGAGGCTCTTTTCTTAAACACCCACCGAGTTTGCTTGATTCCTTTGAGCCTAAAGTTATCTATTCGGCCCTTACCATCCAATAATGACCCCCTTAATGTTTAACATTAATAAATTAGTTTTAAAAAATATTTTCTAAATTGTTAATGAAATTTGATTTACAACCGTTGAGATAGACAAAATCATTCCTCTCGTTCTAGAGCTTTGTTTCTAAGTCATGATTATCATGCGTTGTTGATGTTATGGTGTGAAAAAATAAATATTCATTTACGCTAAATTTTCTCAAAAGAAACAAGAACAAAAGTTAGTACCGTATCCCCCTGTTTGCCATTCCTTCCATGTATGCAACTTCTCTAAGAGCCTGCCTCCATCCCTCCACCCTCTGCATCTCGTCCTTAAGCCGTATTTCATGCTCAGCAAACGCTTCACCATATCCCCCTGTTTGCCTCCCAACCTCAAATCGGTCAACATCATAGAAAACTGGAAACACTATGTGCCCAGCAGTTCTTTTACGTTCCATGATCATTACGAGCTCATCGAGACACCATCTCGATGAAGCATAGTCTTTAGAAAACACAATTATAGATAGTTTTGCTTCTTGAATTGCTTTCTTGATTTCCAACTCGATGTTTTCTCCTCTCCGAATTCCATCATCATCTCTGAAAGTGTGAATCCCGGCTCCAGTTAAAGCCGTGTAGAGATGATCGGTGAAATTCTTGCGAGTGTCTTTGCCTCGAAAACTCAAGAACACGTCATGATAAGTTGGACTAGGCATTAAAGTGAGAAGAATCAATATTTTGGTCATTAATGCGTTGAAAGCCATGGGTTTGATCGATGAAGAGAAATGTATGTCCAAAACACAAAGGTTTGGCTTTTTATCGTTCTCTGGTCAAGCTTCTTAGGGCTTGGAGAACTGGTTGACTAAGGCAATAGAGAATGGTGATCTGCAAGCAGAAAAGAAGACCAAAAGCGTAGACTAAAAGAGTAGGTGACTGAGAGAGAAAAAGAGAAGAGAAAGAATGTATGGACCGCATCCTTTTTGAAAAATATGTCCACTGGATATCTAGAAAGCCCGTAGATGAAAGAGTAATATGTGCCCACACATGTACGAAAGTTAGCCCAAAAGCCATGAAAGCCTAATTAATTCCATAATCATCAATTTACAGTCTTGTTTGGAATTAATGTGTCTACCAATGTAATTTACACTCTGTTTTGAAAAAAAAAACTGCATATTCTTGAACCAATGAACAGATAAAAACGAGGAAAGTTACCTGTCTTCGAGCACCATTCCTGCCAGATCTACAGCTTCATTAAGAGCTGCCCTCCAACTTTGCACTCTGCCCATTTCATTCTGGAAGTTCATTTCATGTTTAGCAAATGCTTCGCTATACATCTCTTCTGATGGATCAACATTGTAGAAAACAGGAAACATGACAAGCCCAGTTGTTCTCCTAGCATTCATGATGAGCACAAGCTGGTCCAGGCACCGTGTTGAAGATGCGTAGTCTTTAGAAAACACAACAACTGATATTCTCGATTCTTCTATTGCTTTCTTGATTTCGATGCCACTCTTTCCTCCTCCGTAAATTCCATCTTGGTCTCTGAAAGTCCGAATCCCAGACTTAGTCAGAGCTTTGTAGAGATGATCGCTAAAAGTCTTGCCAGTGTCTTGGTTGCTAAAACTCAAGAAAACATCATTCGGCTTTCCAAAGATGAGAAGCATCAACATAGATATAATTGAGAGCAAACCCATTGATCTGATGAATAGAAAATCTCAAGACTAAACAGAGTATGGAAAGAAGGGAAATTTTAGATCGGTGTGGATGGAAGGTAAAATCTCTTTTCGGTGTGGATGGAAGTTTGCCTTAGCTAGCTGGAGCCTTTGCCTTTCTCACTCCAATATCAAAACCAATGGGCCCAAACTTGGAATTCAGTAAAAAGGAGAGAGAAGGCTCTCGTTTGTTGTGGCAGCTTTAGCATTTGCATAAAATGTACATTTGAATGCAAAAGAAATTTGGTTTTTGTTGAACGCAAAGGCAAAAACTAATCAGAAAATATGCATTATTATCAAATAATAAAAAATAAAAAAATAAAAAAACTTAACTTTAAGTCTACAAGACATTTGGAGTAAATTCAATAAAGATGCTATGTGGATGGCTTGTTAATCAATTTAGAGCAACCATAAGGGGGTAGAATAGTCAATTTCAAAACTCTTTTTTTTTTTTTATTCTTCTTTTCCTTAAAAAAAAAAAAAAAATCTTTGTAGTAATTGGGAGAATAATAATAAAAATTGCTCAATTACAATAAATAAATAGTAACGAAAATGCTAATTATCTTTCTTGCTTACTTAGCCAACGGCAGCCAGGGATGACTCATCCTTAGTTTAAGGATAACTTTTATGATTTGGACATGTGGCCTTGTGCATGTGTTTTAACATAAAACAATCAGTCTGGTGGTTGAGGTATTGGAAGATGTTTGTGATTTGATAAAATTACGTAATGAGTATTAAGATGCTATATGTGGATGGCTTGTTAATGTATTGGTTTTCCAACTAATCAAACTCTTTAGCTCATTGGAACAGTTGCTTCAAGCTTAGGGTTGCATCTAATTTAATTAACCAAATGTGAGCTACATTCAGAGCTCAGTGGAGAACTAACACTCCCAGAATAGTTCATTCACAGGATAGGCGTGAGGTGAGATGTTATAAGAGGAAATAGTTATGTCCCAAGTTCCTTAAATTTTGCAAATGTAAGCAAAACAAGTTCAAAAAATCGTGAACAGTTTGTCTTTTAACTGTCTTGGCCAATGAATCAAACACAAAGCAGTTAGGTGCAGGATATGGATCAGGAAGGCGAGGGAGCAAGAGAGAGAGGCAGTAGAAAAAGTAGGATTTCATCAAACAATATTTGAATAGCTAACCCAATTCTGTACACACCATAGGCCCTAGTAGCATGGGTTCTTCACAACACCAAGTCCATAACAATACATAAACAAATCTTTTCTCCCTCTACAACAAAAAAGAGAAAAAAAAAATCATAAAAAGAAGAGAAGAAGAAGAAGAAAAAATCACTTGTCCCACCTGTCCAGTGTCCTACATATCAACAGTTTGTCTGAGGCACCCCGAAAAAATTGTAAGAATAACCACCTCAATTTATAGGTCCCTAAATGAATCTCATGTTTTGTCAAGTCCGCCGGCTTTCCGATCTTGAACCTGGATAGTCGCTGCGATCAGTGTCAGAATTCTCCCTTTGAGATTCAATTTCCATGCTACCTCCTTGAGTTCTTCGATGCCTACGATCCTGAAAAAGAAAAACATTACAAGTTTGAATTCCAAATTCAGCCAAAAGCCATGATTCTTCTTTGTTAAATTTCGTAACACAGTTTAGAACTGAAAGCAAGTTGTTGGTAATTTCTCTAGTAAACACTGAACAAGCACAAAAACAGTCAAGCAATTACCCAATTTCAAGCACAAAAACAGCCAAGACTTGTGAGATGATGGAGCCATGGAGGTGCCACCATCATTGATGATATTTTGGCTGCCATGGTGTACTATATTGTGCAATGCAGCAAACAACAAAGGACACATATTCAAAAATGATTTCGGTTGCAGGTGATCAGATGCATTTTGGACTGTAAAAGTAAAATCAGAAACCAACCTCTCTTGGGATAGGATACTCCTCAGACTCAAGCATACGAACAACTTGGCTCATCTTAGGTCTCTTTTCAGAATCTGGATCAACACACCTCAAAGCGGTCAAGAGGGCACGTTTCAGAGCTCTTGTCGATGGCCTCACCTCAATGTTTGGGTCTACTACTTCTTCAGACCGTCTGTTTCCAACCATCATTTTCAACCAATCCACAAGATTTACCTGCCAGCAAGATGATTTAATGATCAACGCAACTTCAAAAGGTGTTTAAAGAGAATAAACTTCCAGCTACTGAACGTATGGCCTCAATAATTACAAGGCTGTTGTTATCCAGAAAAATTCAAATAGTTAATTTTTTTTATTCAGAGGATACTAGACAGGTTTACTTATTATATTGTTAGCCCTGATCAATAATAATAACAAAACTCTACAATTCCCCATCTCTCCACTGGTCTTTGATAACCTATTAGGAAATGGAAATGCAATCAAATCATCCTGACTAACATGAGTTGAGATCATGTTACAAAATCTCATCACTTTTTCTTTCTAACTTTTCTGTAGGATTAAGGTATAGTTGATACAAAAGTAACAGAAATAGATAACTGGTCCTTAATGTTCACTAGCTTATAGTTTAATTCATTTCTTATCATGTTTCACTACAAGCACATATATATAAACAAATGAACTCCAATTCAATTCATCCAATTCTCTAGAAGGGGTGTCAAGTTTGCTGAATGATTCTGTTGTAGAGAATGCAATAATTCAAGAACCACATAGTTAGTCGCTAAAATGCATGTCTAAAAATTTTAATTAATTCACAGGGTAATCATTAATGTGAGTTTGGCTTGGTTATGTCAGGTCAAATGCTCTTTGGATAAAAGAGCAATGCAGAAGACAGGAGTAGAAGCGCTTATTCCTGGGCCTCAGTCTTCATCACTTAACCTAACTATTTGAACACAGAACCAGTTAGTCCACTCACCAACCACACCTCATGAAAAATCATAAGCAATTGATAAATGTGAAGTTAATTTAGGCTAGACTCAAACCCGAAAATTGAGAGGCATATAGTAACCATCATAGTAGATTTGAATTGCACTGCTTTGTTGATGATGGTCAAGGACTCGAGGCAAGTTAAAAAAAAAAATGTAGAGAAGTGCAGATATAAATTCGCATACCTCGTGAGTAGGGCGGCCATAGTCTACAGGATCTCTTCCAGTAATTGCTTCTAAGAGCACAACCCCAAAGCTATAAACATCACTCTTTTCATTCAAAAGTCCAGTATTTGCATATTCAGGAGCCACATATCTGTAAGATTTATTTTGTCAAGGAAAAAGGAGGGGGTTTGATTTCAAAGGTGATAATCCTCTTCCATCAATGAATAAGAGTAACAATGAAAGAACCAGTAAGAATAGACTTTTAAAAAATACTTACCCAAAGGTTCCCATAACACGAGTCGTTACATGGCTTTTGCCAGCTCCAAGCAACTTGGCCAATCCAAAATCAGAAACCTTGGCATTGAAGGCATCGTCAATTAATATATTGCTCGACTTGATGTCGCGATGCACCACTTTTGGCTCAATGGCCTCATGCAAATAGGCAAGACTGCAAGAAACATACCAAGTCATTTGGGAACCTGAAAGCCAAAGAGGGATTAGAAGAGAACTGACTTACGCCTTAGCAGTGCCAAGTAGAACCTTCATGCGGGCCTCCCAAGTAAGATATCCATGCTGACGCATAGCTCCATGAAGCCACTGTTCCAAGTTTCCATTGTTGACATACTCATACACCAATATCCTGCAATGATTATATGTATGAGATCAAATGATATGAACTTGAACAGTATTTGCATAACAGGAAGGCTAGCTAGCACTCAGATTCTTAAGCCCCCAAAAAAGAACCTTTCTATTGATACTCAGTTGATGCCTAAAGCATAAAGCCCAAAGGGAACCATGGGAGCAACCGACCTCAACTCCAAACTACATAGCATCATGTATGGTAAAGAAAAATTATACCTATGTGTCCCTTCTATGCAATATCCCAAAAGACGAACCAAATTCTTGTGTCGGACATGGCCAATGGCTTCAACTTCCACCCTAAACTCCTTTTCCGCTTGGCCCCTGAAGAAGAGTTAAAAAGTGGTGAGTAAAGTAAGAAAGATCAATTGTAAGAAATTTTACAAAAAATCATGAAGTTAATTTCACACTCACAAGTTGTTCAAGATCTTTTTTACTGCCACTGGAGTGCCATTGACCAAATGTCCCTGATAAACTACTCCATATCCACCCTCACCAAGGACATTCTCCTTTGAAAACCGGTTTGTTGCAAGCTCAAGATCCCTCAATGTAAACCAGTGACCCCATCCCAAATGAGAGAACTCAGGCAGGCCACTCAATGGAGAAGGAGCAGTAATAGGGTATGAAGAAGAAGGTTTATATACAGTTACTGTTCCGGAACTCCCTTCTTCACCTGACTGGGATCCACAATCTTTCTCTAAATTATGAAAAGAATCTGACTGACTCGTATTGTCTCCATTCTTCACTTTCCCCATACCTAGATGAACCAAGACCTTATCTGATTCTTTGTCACTGGACTTGTCATGAATTGTGAGAAGAATCCCATCACGAGGTACAAATTCATTTGTCGACACTTGTTCCACCCGAACTTCCTTAATCTCCTTGGAAACAGCTGGGATTTGGCTAAGGGGAAGACGGTGTCTATCTCTTCTAGATTTCTTCCGCGAAGTTAAACAGAAGGACAGTACAGAGAGGATGATTATTATAAATAATGCAACGCAAATTCCAATTACTTCCCAGACCTTGAGACCCAAAATGGCAGTTTTCTTGGATAGTTCTGCGTTTAGATCATTGGCCATCTTGTCTTATTAGATACCAAACCCTGCATAATTAACAGGAAACATACAAGGAAAAGCATCCCATCAATGCAGAATCTCACAGTAAGAATGGCATAGCCGCATAACTACTACTCTTACATAGACATTACAAAATCCTTTCTCAGGATTACAACCGCAGAAACCATATAAATAAAAAATGAACACTAACACAAGCATTTCAATGAGCAAATGAACAGATCAGAAAACTCATTAGAA